CCTTCAACATGGGGTTAAACATAGACTTCTCATCAAATATCACATTTCTACTAAGTATAACTCGATGCTCAGAAGGTGACCATACTCGAAATCCCTTAACTCCATCTCCGTAACCCACAAATACACCCTTCTTTGCCCTTGGGTTCAGTTTACCCTCATCCACATGATAATAAACAGGACACCCAAAAACTTTCAGTGAAGAGTAATCAGCAGTCTTACCATACCACACTTCATAAGGAGTCTTATACTCGATACCTGTGTGTGGTCCACGGTTGATCAGGAAGCACGCCATGTTTACTGCTTCTGCCCAGAATCTTCTCTCTAGTCCAGCATTAGAGAGCATGCACCGTGCTCTCTCCAACAATGTCTGATTCATCCTTTCTGCAACGCCATTCTGCTGGGGTGTATCTCTCACAGTCCGATGACGGGAAATCCCTTCATCTTTGCAGAATTCGTTGAACTCAGAACTGCAAAACTCCAGACCATTGTCCGTTCGCAGCTTCTTGATCTTCTTCCCGGTCTGATTCTCCACCAATGTCTTCCACTGCTTGAACTTCGTGAAAGCTTCACTTTTCTGCTTCATCATGAAAATCCAAGTAAATCTCGAATAATCATCAATAATAGACAGAAAATACCTGCTGCCTCCAATGGATTCAACTCGTGAAGGACCCCAACAGTCAGAGTGGAGGTAATCTAGTATCCCCTTCGTCCGGTGGATACCCTTCTTGGGAAACTTGCTGCGATGTAGCTTCCCAAACACACAATGCTCACAGAATTCCAAATTCTGCACCTTGTGCCCGCAAAGAAGATCCCTCTTTGATAGAACTTGCATCCCTCGTTCACTCATATGCCCCAGTCTCATGTGCCAGAGAGTGGTCATATCCTCCTGTTGAACCTGAGACGATGCAACTGCAGCAGAACCAGACAACACAGACCCTTGTAATGCATACAAGGTCCCACGCTTCACGCCCTTCAGTACCTTCCTCGAACCCTTGCAGACATACACAACTCCACCTTTTCCTTTGAAACTGAAACCCTTGCTGTCGAGTAGACTCAAGGAGATCAGGTTCTTCGTCATTCGTGGAACATGTCTGACATCATTCACGGTACAGAACGAACCATCATGTGTCCGAACCTTTATGGACCCGATTCCAACAACCTTGCAGACAGCTCCATTTGCCATGACCACGTTACCACCATCTATCTGCTCGTAGGTTGTGAAGCAATCCCTGTTCGGAGACATATGATATGAGGCTGCAGTATCCAGAAACCACACATCACCACGATGTGCCTTCTCATCTACAGCCAAGGCGAGATCGTCTTCAGAACTGTTGTCCACTTCTGCCACGGCAACTGAACCTTGTTTCTTCTGTTGCCCTCTTCTCTTGGGACAGTTGTACTTCCAATGCCCCACTTCCTTACAGTTGTGACACGCATCACCTGGCTGTGGACCGGGACCCTTGGAATTCTTGCTCGAATTCCCTTTACCAGATTTCTTCTTTCCCTTTCCACCTGTAACAGCCAAACCCGATGCCTCACCACCTGTACCAGATCCGGACGCCTTATGTCTGATCTCTCTCGTATGAAGAGCAGACCTGACATCCTCCAACGACACGCTTTCTTTACCAGCAATAAAAGAATCAACAAAATTCTCATATGAACTCGGCAAAGAAACCAGCAGGATTAGGGCAGCATCCTCGTCATCAACTTGAACATCTATATTACGCAGATCCAGCAAAATAGAGTTAAGCTGTTCGAGATGTTCCCTCAAAGGCGTACCTTCTTGCATCCTCAAGCTGAACAACCGTTGCTTGAGATGCAGCTTGTTGGTTAGAGACTTAGTCATATACAGACTCTCTAGTTTCAACCACAAGCCCGCGGCAGTCTTCTCAGCAGCGACTTCAATGATGACGTCATCAGACAACGATAGCATGATGGTCGAGTGGGCCTTCTCCTCCAGGGTATTCCACTCATCGTCATCGACCGCTGCCTTCTTCTGTTTCGCAGACAGCGGCCCCCACAGCCCTTGCTGTTTTAATAAAGCCTGCATCTTGATCTGCCATATAGCGAAGCTGTTCTTCCCCGTGAACTTTTCGATCTTCATGTTCACCGACGTCATTCTTCTGAATCGAAAACCTTAGCCTGATTTCCAGCCGCGGCTCTGATACCACTTGTTATAAACGCGCTGCTACGGATCGGGAAATCGCCGGAATCGACAAAGCAAGAATACGAGAGCGAGAATCGAAAGACACAGACACACGATTTACGTGGTTCACTAACACGATGTGTGTTAGCTAGTCCACGGGCGAGAGAGAGAGCCAGTTTCACTATATCTGAGGAGATTACAGATTACAGAGGAGTATGAGAAGTATTTATAGTACTTCTCCATGTGGGTCTAAACCTAATCCAATCTAGCAAAGGAAACGGTTACAGACCAGGCCCAGAGACCCCCGATTACCAGTCGTAGCGGCTGATAATCCGATTCAAGTCATATCAACAAAGAAAATTATATCCAGAGAAGGAGCAGAGCCACCTTAGGGGTGGCTCGAGGGACTTGCCTCTCCCTCAATCTCAGAGAATTTAGAGAATTACATATGAATCTTCTATAAATTTTGAAAATTACATATAAACTAAAAATCATATAAATGTAAAAAAAAAAGTTGCAATTCTTAAACAAAGGTCATTCCTTCTATCTCAATGGAAAAGCTGTCAATTTATGAGCCACTAGTCATGTATTGAGATAAACACAAATTTCAACCCTATATAAGCTGGCTTTCATTTAAAATTAAGTGTGATTCATAAACAAAGTCATTCCTTCTATCTTAGTGAACAATATTAGTTCTTTTTACCTATGAGATTTAGTTTTGTCATAAAGTTAATTTGGTCACTTAAGTTTCGTACTACTTCAAATGCAGACTATATCAACTAAAATTTATTTGAATTTTGTAAATCCTTTTAATTGAAACTATAACATCTAAATTCTTCAATTTTTAATTCTTATTTTAAGAGTAAATTTCAATGAATGATGAGTACGTCAATTTATTTTCGGTAGAAAAATTAATTTATTTCATGCTTTAACTTCTTAGGTCCTTACCTTCAAACTCAATCCATTCACCTCTTCAAGTTAAAAATTCATATTTTCTTAGGTAATTTTTGGACTTAATGAATTTTTTTTCAAATTATAATATTAACAAATATTCACATTTTTGTAATGAAAATACTCAATACTATATTAACTTACTAATCTATATTGTACATATCATAGTACCACTTTTTCGTTAAGATTGTATTTAAAGAAAATTTAACTATAAAAAATTAACATCTTGTGGGCTGACGAATTTTTTAATTATTTTACGATCATATGTTAAAAAACTTTCGCCTCCCTCCCTCCAAACCTCAAATTCTCACTCCACTCCTGTACTCTGACATACATAAACTTTAATCCCATATGAGTTGATTTTTGTTTAAGCGGGCTTTCATTTACCAAAACGATTTAAGTGACTTGTTAATTTAAATTAGTTCGACAAAAAAGGAACAAAATCAATACTATTAAAAATGGGTTAAAGACACATTTGGTCACTGAGATTACAAAATCGGGACATGTTTAGTCACTAGAAAAAGTTAATATCAAATTTGATCACTACAATTACTAAAACTGGACGCATTTAGTCACTCGCCATTAGTTTCCGTCCAACTCCGTTAATGAAGTCCGTTAAGTGCTGATGTGGCAAACAGAATTGCCTAATCAGCCGGATATAACCCAACAAAAATAAAACCCGACCCGCCACGTCATTATAACCCGCCACGTCATTAAAACCAACCCAACCCAACCCATGACCCAACCCCACCCAACCCTTCTTCCTCCTTCCTCCCACCTCGGCACCTCCCACCTCCGCCACTGCTCTCCTCCTTCCTCCCACCTCCTCCGGCAAACCTGTTCGACCAAACCCAGCAGACCAATCCTTCACCAACGAGGCCATGGGTTGGGTTGAATTGCTAGAAGAGCGGGCGCGTACAGGGAGCGGGAGGAGGAAGAGGAGGAGGACGGTGGTAAGGTGGAGCAGTCGATTCACGGGAAGAAGAAGCGCCGGCGAGGGAGGCCGTGAAAATCCTGAAGGAGGCCGGAATTGCACATCGCTACCTCGCCACCAGATCGGCTTTAGATTTCATCGTCGATTGTCTCCTCTCAATGGGTTTTGTTTCCCTCTTTGGCTCTTTCTCATAATCGACTCCGTCGTCAACCGCTAGAAAGATTCGCAATTCGAATACGAGTTTAGCCAACTCGAATTGAGGGTTCAATTGAAGTCGTAGACAAATATGGGTTTCACCACAGACTCAACAGAAGAATCTAATCTTGTTGGGGAGAGCGACGGTGAGGGTGATGCCGGAGACGGCGAGGACGGTCAGGATGTCGGAGTTGGTGAGAGCTTGACCATGGTGATCCCTTGGGAATTTGAGGAGCTTGACAACTTTGGTAGGGACGGAAGTTTGTTTGCGATGTGGGGTTTGAATTGGATAATTTGCTTGGCATTAAGGTTGGAGAGGGATTGGCGACTGGTGAAACTGTGAAAGTTTGGGATCCGGGGGAGAAGGGTTGGGTGGGGTGGGGTCATGGGTTGGGTTTAATGATGTGGCGGGTCGGGTTTTATTTTTGTTGGGTTATATCAGGCTGATTAGGCAATTCTGTTTGCCACATCAGCACTTAACGGACTTCATTAACGGAGTTGGACGGAGACTAACGGCGAGTGACTAAATGCGTCCAGTTTTAGTAATTGTAGTGACCAAATTTGATATTAACTTTTTCTAGTGACTAAACATGTCCCGATTTTATAATCTCAGTGACCAAATGTGTCTTTAACCCTATTAAAAATACATATCCAAAGAGCACAAAAAGATAGAAAACAAATCCAGAAATTTATTACAGGATTAGCAGAAGACCAGCCGCGTGGCAGGTCTAAGCTGTTATATATACCACAGGTTCAATGTCTTAACAACGCAGTCTTCAATTTCCGTGATCCTCAATCAAGTCCCCAGATACCAAACTCTCGAGAACCATATCCATGGCGGCAACCACCAAGAGGCAATTCTTTTCTCCCACAAAAGAACCCAGTTACATTAATCCGTTTGCTGCTTCAAATTGATCATCTTGTTAACCTGGTGGTGCGTGCGCTTATGTTTTTTGCAGGTATGCAGTGGTCACGGGAGGAAACAAGGGGATTGGGTTCGAGATTTGCAGGCAGCTGGCTTCTAACGGCGTTCTGGTTGTTTTAACAGCCAGAGATGAAAACAGAGGCCTCCAAGCTGTTCAGAAGCTCAGAGATGGCGACCCAGCTCTCTCGGACAACTTAGTCTTCCACAAACTTGATGTGGCAGACAGTAGCAGCATTTCTTCCCTTGCAGATTTCATCAGAACCCAATTCGGGAAGCTTGACATCTTGGTATGCATATCTATTCCTCTTTTTTTTTTTTTACACTCGTCCACCTTTTGTTCTTCTTTCTGGAGTGCAGCATCTTTTGAAGTGGCTCTCTATGTCCTGTTTTCTCAATTAGGTGAACAATGCTGGAATTTTCGGGGCGACGATGGACGTAGATGTTATGAGAGCTGTCGGGCCGGACAGGGTAACGCTATTTTCTTATGAATTGATTAGCTAGTCGATCTTTTTTTATGAGGGTGATATAAGTTTCGTCATTAAGGTACTATTTAAGGGATACCTGGGATCTCCAGGTTCTAGGCTAGTACCCTTATTCGTCTTGTTTGGGTCAATCTTACTTATCTATCTATCATCTTCCAAACAGTGGCTTGAGAGCATTACAGACACATACGAATTGGCAGAAGAGTGCTTGAAAACAAACTACCATGGCGCCAAGCAAATGATCGAAACGTTTTTGCCACTGCTTCAGCAGTCTGATTTGCCCCGGATAGTCAACGTTTCCTCTGGATTGGGGAAGCTGAAGGTATGTTTCACTTGTAGTAAGAGCAGATTGACCTCTTCGTGGCATCAACCATATATAAGTCATAGCTTTTTTTGAAGTCTGATTTGTTTGCGTTTTCAGAATGTCAAGCATGAATGGGCTACAAGTGTGCTGAGTGATGTCGAGAATCTGACTGAAGAGAAAGTGGAACAAGTGTTGAATCAGTACCTGAAAGACTTCAAGGAAGGTTCGTTGGCAACCAAAGGCTGGCCGCGTGGGGCTTCTGCATATACACTGTCGAAGGCAGCGTTGAATGGTTACAGCAGGATCATAGCCAAGAAGTACCCAAATCTGTGCATCAACTGCGTTTGCCCTGGATATGTGAAGACGGATATTAACCAGAATACTGGGTTTAGAACCCCGGATGAAGGCGCGGAAGGTCCTGTGAAGTTGGCATTGTTGCCCTATGGCGGGCCTTCTGGTCGTTTCTTTGATCAGACAGAGGAGGGTTCCTTCTGATATTCCATAGATGTCAGCTTGCTGTAGTATGGTACTTTACGTATTCAATAATGTGTGTCTGATTGTATCTGCGTATGAGAGACCAATTGGCTTGGCTGCAAATCAATGTCATCATGTGGGATTACTATTGTGTGATGAGAAATTTGGCAACAAGGTTTCAGTATGTTACTTTTTTTAATGGATGAAGGGGGTGATGAGCTCCTGCCTGTTATCCATCTCTTCTCAAATAGACCAAGAAGCCATAAATAAGTTCAAATCCAACAGCCACTCTGAATAGTTGATGTACACCTTGGCAATGATGTACAGCTTGGGAGATACCGAGCTTCTATTAGCTGGATAGCTGATAGGTGAGGTGTGTTGATTCAGCGGGGAGCTAATCGACTGAGTTGAGAGATTGTTGTAATTTCTGGTGCTTCAACAAACATATTCGTAGTGCAATGTCTCAGACCGTGGAATAGTGAGTTTTGAGATTCTTATTCTCTCAACAGCGGAAACCACGTAAAACCCGACTATCTTATTTGTATTTTTCTGGCTAAGTAGCTTGCTGGGTTTATGGAACTCTATTCTTGAGGGAACAAGTGTTCTTCAGAGGGTTTCCACTTTCCACGCCTTGATATGAAAAACAGCGGGTTAATTGCATGGTTGGTCACTAGAAATATTTAAATTTATTGGCGGTACTTCAATTTACTGAAACCGTTCACGTTTGGTTACTCTCCGTCCAACTCCGTTAACTTTGACTGACGTGACAGTCAACTCTCAAAGTTGACCGTTAACTTAGTGATGTGGCAATTAAAAATAACAAATAAAATAAAAATTTAATCTATTTTAATGTCCTACTCATTTTGACCATAAAATAAAAAATAAAATAAAATAATAAAATTTAATCCTTGTTGCACTTGTTGGCGCACATATGTTGCTTCACTGGCACGTCGCCTCTCGTATACTTCACCACAAAGTGATCCACCCCTTTTAGCTCAAAATATTTGAAATCAATGATGATCAATTTGGCCAACCTAGGTTGTTGAATTCAGAACCCAAAACCTAATAGGGTTGAATTAAGAAACCATCATCTGTTTCTTCGTCTATGTTCTTCCACCCACCCGTCCCTAAACTAGGGAGAAGCGTCACCGCCTGGAGACCAATGACTATGGAGAAACTAACCAAATCCTAAACGGCGAGGTCGACCGGATATCGGATTTACACGAAGACGTCATCCATAAGATCCTCACTCGCGTAGAACCCTCAAAAGAAGCTGCGAAAACCAGCGTCATGTCCCAAAGATGGGCCAATCTCTGACGATCTTACCCGGTCCTGGAATTCTACGACACCCAGTTCGCAACGAAGAAATCGGCAAAGAAATTCGCTGCCGCTTTGATGGGTCGAGGACGAGTACCATCCCGTTGGGATTATTACTGCCCAATTCCAATTCCAATTTCAGCCACCGATTCCACCTCAGCTTTGGCGCCTCGCAACCGCTGCCCCACCCCGCCAGTTGCCCGTTCGGAGTCGGGCACCCGACACATTGGCTGTTCTCGCAGACGCCAAACTCCCCAGCGCCCACGGATCGTCTTTGGAGAACACGGTCACCGTGATTTACCACATCTAGGTCTGGAACCCGTCGGTTTCAGTGCCGATTATAAAGGTGTGGGTCCTCAAATTGCCGTCGATTTCCAAGCGGAGGTATGACAGCGTGGTGTTGAAACACGAGATTTTAAAGAAAGTGCCACCGCCGCTGACGGTGGAATCGGTGACTTTGGTCTCGATATCTAGGTTCGCATTGAGAGTGGTGTTGAGTGTGGTGGTGTTGTCCGGGAGGGAGAGGCGGGCCGCTCCGCTGAATGAGAAGTACCGATAAGATGTTTGACGATTTGCCCCAGTGAAATATATGGCCAAATCTTTGGGTTCCAGAACCAGACTGTAAAAAAATTAATCTATTTTTTTATTTTATGGTAAAAATGAGTTGGATATTAAAATAGATTAATTTTTTTTATTATTTCTTAATGCCACATCACTAAGTTAACGGTCAACTTTGAAAGTTGACTGCCACATCAGTCAAAGTTAACGGATTTGGACGGAGAGTGACCAAACATAAACAATTTCAGTAAACTGAAGTACCACCAATGAATTTAAATATTTCGAGTGACCAAACTTGAACTTTTTTTATAATTTTAGTGACCAACCATGCTATTAAAAAAAACAGCAATAATAGACTTCTGTTTAGTGTTTAAGTTGATGTGTTCCGTTTTGGTTCTTCTTTGGAATCAAGTCTCGGCCTGATAACTATAGGAAACCAATGTGGGCTTTGAATTAATTAAGCCCATCTATTCGGCTAGTTTGTTTCCTTAAGGACTCGGTTTTTTTAGCCCATCGTTATTCACGCAGATCAACAACCGCGGAGAAACACGAAGAGTAAGTAATTACTACTAATAGTAAAGAGGAAGTAACTAAATACGCCGACGTGAACAACTTGCAACCTGATAAACTTGTAGTATGTTTGATCTGCAATATGAAGAATCCGAATCCAATTGATTCGACACCAATAAATAAAAAATTCGTAACCCAATTACACCCAACCCGAACTCACTCTAGTATGACGGATTGACACGTCAACGATAGAAAGCTTGCTGACTCACACCTCGGTCCAACCGTCCGAGTTTGCCAGGCTTTACCGAGTTTAGCCAAATTTGATCAAAGCCGGCCAAACACTTGAATGAGTTGTTGGCCCTCGTTTTTTTTTTTTGAATAATGTTGGCCCTCGTTATTGTGGACGGGTCCGGATCAACCAGCCGATCGACAACCTTGCTAGGAATAAATTAGGATCACTAGATTCCCTGAAACCGGGTCCGCTGCTCCTCTTGAGAAAATAATGGACGGCCCTTTTACTTTCTTTTTGTTTTGCAATCCTTTTTGCTATTTTAAGTTTTGAACTTGCAAATTTCTCTGAGTCATTTTCTTGGAAATATCTACCTAAGAAAAATTCGCCGCACGCGTCAATGCCGTCGGCGTGAGCGTGATTAACGAAACAAACAGCTCGCTGGCTACTGGCGTGACGATTTGTATACAAATTCCCATCCTTCCCTTTCGTTTTTGCGCTGTAAGAATCCCTTCCCAATCTTCCACCACCGGTTCTTCAAGCACGAATTCTCCCGGTCTGTCCTAATTCCGGCACTAGGGCTACTTCTACATCACTGGGTTTAATTACTTCGTCGGTGGTGAGAGCACCGACAATGAAGAGAGTGAAGTTGGAAACTATGCTGCCGCTGAGTCGGGTCCGGCTGATTCAGACCTTGATGGCTGCTTTTTTCCTCTACCTTCTCTTCGTTACTCTCGAGATCCCTCTGGTTTTCAGAACCGGGTCGGTGGAAGTTTATGGGTCAGCTAACGGCGACGGGTCTACCGGTGAAGCCCTGCCCAGGTCGTGGGTCTTCGAGCGTGACGAACGGCAGTTGTTTGAGCGAGCAGAGGAAGCAGAAAGCAAAATCAGCGGCGGCGGCGGCGAAGATCGAGGCGGCAGTCCTTCTGGAGAATCTTCGGATTCTCGAGTGGGTTTCCGCCGGAGCCCCGCGCGGAGAATGAGGGAGACTAGTAAGCGAATCTCCGGGTTGTTCTTCAACGAGACGGTGTTCGATGTTGTGACTTCGCTCGACGAATTCTCTGCTCTTTACAAGACGGCGAAGCAGGCGTGGTTCTCGGGGAAGAAGCTTTGGGAGGAGTTGGAATCGGACAAGCTTCAACCCGATCCGATCAGGACCGACGAGAAGAATTCCACTGAGCAGCAGTGCCCGAATTCGATCACTCTGACTGGACCAGAATTCTTGTCCCGTAAAAGGATCCTGGAGCTGCCCTGCGGGCTGACTCTGGGTTCGCATATAACCGTTGTGGGGAAGCCGAGGTGGGGTCACAGGGAAAGAGACCCGAAGATAGCTCTGCTGAGGGAGGGTGAACAAGAATTGATGGTTTCCCAGTTCATGATGGAGCTGCTTGGATTGAAGACCGTCGATAACGAAGAACCGCCGAGGATTTTGCATGTCAACCCGAGATTGAAGGGTGATTGGAGTGGGAAGCCTGTGATTGAGCAGAACACTTGTTACAGGATGCAGTGGGGGCATGCTCAGAGATGCGAGGGCTGGAATTCTAGAGCTGATGAGGAAACAGGTAAGCAAGGCGGCATGCCAACTCCTCAAAGTTTTTATCCTTTTTCGTATCGCATTTATTTGGTTGAATCCTTGATTGTGTAATACGATTCATTGAGGTTTCTTTGCCTTTTCCTCTTCTGGGTTGGTTCGTGAAGTTGATGGGCAGGTGAAGTGTGAGAAATGGCTGCGAGATGATGATGGAACTACGGAGGATTCAAAGACAGTATGGTGGTTGAACAGACTGATAGGGAGGACAAAGAAGATTTCATACAATTGGCCCTTCCCTTTTGCAGAAGGCAAGTTGTTCGTTCTCACATTGACTGCTGGCTTAGAAGGTTACCACATAAATGTCGATGGCAGGCATATCACGTCATTTCCTTATCGGATTGTGAGTAATTTTTCTGTTTTTGTGATCTCTTCTCCATGAACTGGGAATGCTCAAAATTGCAGGTTGTCTGGAAATTTACATGTGATTGTTTCAGGGGTTCGTTCTTGAGGATGCTACTGGGTTTTATTTGAACGGTGATGTCGATGTGGATGCTGTAATTGCTGCATCATTGCCTAGTTCACATCCAAACTTTGCTCCGCAACAGCATCTCGAGATGTTTAAGAAATGGCAAGCACCCTCACTTCCAGTTGTTCTTGGCCAAGTGGAGCTTTTTATTGGCATCCTCTCTGCTGGAAATCATTTTTCCGAACGGATGGCTATAAGGAAAACATGGATGCAACATAACTTGATCAAATCTTCAAATGTTGTTGCTCGATTCTTCGTTGCACTGGTAAGATGCTTTAGGAGATACCCAGACCTGTAAACCCTATTTGCTTTTTGGGCTGTTGAGTTTCGAAGAACTGATTTTCTTCAAATTTTTGGCAGACTGGGAGAAAAGAAATAAATGCACAGCTAAAGAAGGAAGCAGAGTATTTTGGTGATATTGTTATAGTTCCCTACATGGACAACTATGATCTTGTAGTGCTAAAGACTGTTGCAATTTGTGAATATGGGGTGAGTATCCGAGTTACTTGAAGTCTTGCTGAATATTCCTGTCTTTGTATCGTGCATTGATGATGTGGCTCTATATCATGTATGGTTCAACAGGTTCAGAATCTTGCTGCAAAATTTATTATGAAATGTGATGACGACACATTTGTTAGAGTGGATGCCGTAATGAAGGAGGCGAAGAAAGTGGTTGGAAACAAAAGCTTGTATGTTGGGAACATCAACTACTATCACAAGCCCTTGCGAGATGGTAAATGGGCAGTGACTTACAAGGTTAGTTGATCTTACTGAAAAAGAGAACTAGGAAGTTTCTGCATTATTATGCCGGTGGCATTTTGCTGCAAGTCCTTTGTGATTCTTCTGGACTGAATTTTTCTGCCTCTTGTCAGGTCCTTTTCGTGGTTAGATTTGTCATGCACAATGTGTGTCAAGTAACTTTACGTAGAGGCTAGAACTAAGAACCACAATCAGTTCTGTTCACGTTAGAAGTGTTTTTTGTGTGATCTACCTGTTCCGAATACATGCTGCTTATGTGTGTTTTTCTTCGTGTGTACCATTCAGGAGTGGCCAGAGGAAGTGTATCCTCCCTATGCTAATGGTCCAGGTTACATTGTGTCATCCGACATTGCAGAGTTTGTAGTATCAGAATTTGAACAACACAAGCTAAGAGTAAGAGCCATTGGTCCACTTAGTCTCGTCCCTCCTCTCTTGTCTACATACTCGTAGAATTTAGATGCTAACCTGCAGTAGACTCTTTTTATACATGGTTCAAAATCCTATGACGCACATGTTGTGTCCCTCCTAACTTAATTACTTGAATTCTGGCTTCGCTGCAGCTATTTAAGATGGAAGATGTGAGCATGGGAATGTGGGTGGAAAAGTTCAACAGCTCAAAACCTGTGGAGTATGTGCACAGCTTGAAGTTCTGCCAGTTTGGGTGCATCGATGATTATTACACATCTCATTACCAGTCTCCAAGACAGATGATTTGCCTATGGGAGAAGTTACATCAAGGAAAAGCCCAATGCTGCAACTGGAGATGACAAACAAGATGACTACCGCCGATGGGGTTAACCGTAAACCGCAACTAGTTGGTAAAGAACAAGAAGGAAAAACAAGTTTTGTAGTCCTAGCAGGACCTTTGTACATATTCAAGGGGAGATATATAGCATTCTGAGCTCAATTCATTATAGTTTTTGTTCCCGGTCAGTCATTCTTCAAGCTAAGTTCAGTTCAGCTTTCTCTCTCCCCCTAATTCAGTCTTGTCTGTAGCTTATGTGGAGGACTACAGTAAAGGGAGAGGATAGACAAGTCACAGAACACCTGCCTTTTCCTCTTGTATTCCGGAGAGACGAAACTGAAATGCAATATCAGAATGGACTGAACTTTTGCCACTTTTGGCTCATACATGCTCTCCATTAATGAACCTCATATGTGCTCTCCATTATTAAACTTTTAGTTTGTTGAGTACTTGAAATTCCAGAAGTTGCTACAAAGTGGAGATTCCAAAGCTTGTTAGCTGAAAGGTGGAAGCAATAAAGCCAGCTTTAAATTTCTGATGGATGAGCTTAGCAACCAAGTAGGGTCCTAGATAGTGAAGCTTTACTCTCGAGTCTGAAAGTGATTCTTTCTTGGTGGCTATGATTGTTCACAAAAAAGAGAACCTTATTCCCTCACCTCATTCTATTTCATATTCTTCTGGTACTTCAGATTCTCTCCACATCAGAGTCCCACTTCTGCTAGCTAGCTGGCTTGGTGGATAGCCAAAATGATAAAACTTAAAAACCTCTCAATTCAGAAGTTCCAATTACAAAAAAGAAGAATGAAACTATTTATTTGGGGTAATGCCCATTGCCCCTTTTTCCACATTCCTTACAATATAATTTGTAAAGCAACATTACAGCAACTTTCCCTCATATTCAACAGACTCTTATACATTGAAAACATGAGAAATTTCCATCTCCATGGTGTCCCTCCAGTCTACAAATTAGCCAAAATAAAAAGGGTTGCCAAGAAAATGATCCACCAGGCACCTGTAATCAATCAGAGAAGCAACATCAAATGGTTGATTTCAAGAAGTGAATAGAAACAGCAAGGGTACTAGAGAATAGATTAAAAGACTACCATTCTTCCATTGGCTTGAAGCATGGCTGAAGAACAAACACTCAGATGTGGTATTGAAACCACCCGGACAGTTGCAGACAAAAGAGTTGAAAGCCCCAACATACCCACAAACCCCATGGCTTCTCTCACAGTTTGCACACGAGCCAGGGTAATCATTATACACATTGAACTTATACTTCAATGCAATCCCATACTTCCAGTCATCCGGATTCGATTCCTGCCCGTTGAAGCTGTAGAATCCAGCATACGACGAACATTTCAGCTTCTGGAGGTCCATCTCGAACGAAGGACCAAGATCAACCGGTGTGTAAACACAGCAAGTGGAGATTGGGAGGTTCATCATACTGATCGCCCTGCACGAATACAAGAAGCTGCAGATTGGCGCCCCTGTCCTGTCACACTGAGGGACCATGCTGCTGCTGCTGCTGCTGCCATTGCCACTACTCCCACCACCGTAGTCAGTAGTGCTGAACATAGGCGACGATGTGGTTGAGCAATCCAAGAGGGTGAAGACGGTATCATCGTGGAAAGAAAAAGGGGCGTCCCAATCGAGGCCAAAGCCTTTGCTCGGCTGAGTACAGGAACACGTCGACATGGATGGATCGGAGATGTAGATGACCTGGTTCGAGTAGTCGATGTTTGTGATCGGGTAGCAGCCGGTGTGGGAGGTGAAAGTGAGCTTGCCTTGGCTGCAAGTAACATACTTTTGGAAGCGGGGATCGCCACAGCCAAGGCCGGTTCCAAAAGGGTACTTGATGGGGATGTTGCCACAGTAGTTCTGGCAAGCCTGAGATGAGACCATGAAAGGGAAAGATGTGAGAGTTGTGATGAAGAAAGCCACTAGTGCTAAGAGAGTAGTAGTAGTAGAAGTTGTTGCAGTGGCCATGGGAGAAGAATGGTGGAGAATGTGATTCATGGAATTGGGGTAGAGCATATATAGAGTCTTTTCTGTTTTACTAGTGGTGGAATGGTAGGGTGAAAGTGTCAGGAGGAGGGAAGTAGGAGAATAAGGTTCTTTGGCCGGCTGCCGATAGTTGGCTAGCTTTGAGTATACTTTTTTCCTCCTTTCTCTTTGTTCAGTTTGTTGCTTCAGCATTTTTTTTTCTTTCTTTCTCTATTTTGGGTATTATAAGATAAGATGCCTTGGCTTGACTGAAAGTGGAGAGTGTGATGATTCTTGGGGCCCGTTTGGTTGTGATCCAAGGCAGCGGCTTAGAGTCCCAAAGTTTCTGCAGATTTTAAGGAGATTTGCTTCTGCTCCAAGGAAGCCAGTTTTCTTTACAAATACAAATAGTCTGGGAAAAAATTCCTTCAGCAAACACGGCCTCCAACCGCGGCTAATATGCTTCGTGGGCCACCCTTGAAACCGGGGAATTTGCTCATTGTGGAAGTAGGGTGGGCCCAGTTTGCATTTTACTTGACACTTATTCGCAAGGGACGTTGGGCTTGGTATTTGAAGGAAATCAGGCCCAGTCCACACTTCATGAGATGCAGACCCAGAGGATTATTCCTTATTTTATAACATATACTGCTATCATTTGTGGATTTTGTCAAAATGGAAACATGCGGGAATGTTCGGCAACAAGGGGTGCAAGTTCGAGGGTGCAAATTGAGGGGTAAATTGTTGGGGGTGCAACTTGGTGGAGGGTGTAAGTGGAGGGGTAAATTGTTATTTGGATGAAAAAGTAGGAGGTGCAAATAGAGTAAAAAGTAAGTAATTATATTATTATAAAATAGATTTATCAATTTATAAAATATTATCACAAAATAATAACATGAAAATTCAATATATAATAATAAATAATGAATAATAATAATTTTAATAAAAATAATTATTATATAATAATGCTCAAATATAATTATTTATAACAACAACAATAATCATTGGTCGAGCAACCTCGAAACTCGAAATCCAACTCGTAACGGGTCATCCTAACAATAACCGTAGGTAATGTTAAATACCAGAGAAGCTTTGGAAACAGAGCGGCAGCTATAGGCAAGTGCGAGCAATTAAGCTACTGATGGTTTCATTCACCCTGTAGTGGGCGGTGAATGAACTATGAAGGATATGAAAGCAGCTCGCTCGTTCCAAGAGCACAGTGAATTCATATTTCCAGCCAGCCACAGACGCCATTTTCGCAGTTTTCCTTCTTGTTCCGACTCCGAGCCTTCCTTTCTTGGGTACGAAGGTATGAACAAAATGTGAAATTCTTCATCTATAAACTAACCAATAAAGACGAATCCGGTCTGTGATTGCAAAGTAGATTTTTGATTTTGTCCCCTTTCTTCTCAGTTGAATCTCAGCCACACGATCCATCTACCCTCCTCCCCATCAAACGTATCAATCAATCCCGTTACCACCATCACCATCATCATCAATGACGTCTCTCAATTCCATTCAATCCCCACTGCTCTTTCTGCTCGATCTCCTTAATAAATTTTCGGTTCTTATCTCCACAACAAGAATAATAATAACAAAATAAAAGAACCCATAATTTCCCTCCTCTCTCTCACTCTCCCTACCGAATCCCTATACATACGCATTTCCAGACCCTGTTTCCTCTCCCCAAACAGAAAGCTCAAAATCAGCTCCTTCTACTCTGTCATCTTCCATTCTTCTCGCAGCAATTTTCTGCTCTAGCCATGGCCAGTAACAACGGAGATGTGAAACTGATCGGCGCCTGGGCGAGCCCTTACGTAATGAGGCCTAGAATCGCTCTCAACGTCAAATCCGTCGAGTACGAGTTCCTCCAGGAGCAGTTCGGGTCCAAGAGCGAGCTCCTCCTCAAATCCAACCCTGTCCACAAGAAAATCCCTGTCCTTCTGCACAACGGCAAACCCATTTGCGAATCCAGCATCATCGTCGAGTACATCGACGAGGTATGGTCCTCCGGCCCTTCCATCCTCCCTTCCGACCCGTACGATCGCGCCGTCGCCCGCTTCTGGGCTGCCTACCTCGACGAAAAGGTACGAATTACGATCTTTTTTCTTAAATTGATCTCGAATTCGCATTCTCCGTGTCGATTGCTTTAATGGGCAGTCGTTAGATTTGGGATTCGAATTGAAAGTTGGAATCTTTTTTTGATTGGGCAGTGGTTCCCGAATGTGAGAGCTGCGCCAATGGCGGCGACGGAGGAGGCGAAGAACGCGGCGGTGGAACAGCTGAAAGAAGGGCTGGCGCTGCTGGAAGGAGCGTACGGGGAGATCAGCAAAGGGAAGGATTTCTTCGGCGGGGAGAAGATTGGGTTTCTTGACATTGCGTTTGGGAGCATGTTGGGATGGCTGAGAGCCGTGCAAGTGATTCTGGGAGGAGTGAAGCTTCTCGATGAGGAGAAGACGCCTGGTTTGTGTAAATGGGCTGTCAAATTCTCGGCTGATCCTGCTGTGAAGGATGTGCTGCCGGAGACTGAGAAGCTCCTCGAGTTTGCCAAGATCCTTATGGCCAAAATGAAACCAGCCTCATCCTCGTAGATTGTTTGGTGGGTTTGTAATTTTGATTGGTGATGAATCGAGAGACTGGGACTGTTGTAGCGGTTTGATGAACTGAAGGAAATAAGTGGTAAGATCACATAGAATGGGCACATTTGGTTTGTGGGTTTGTGTGATTGATGAGCTAGGAAATGGGTTCTAGTTATGAGAAGTATGGAAGTTCATTTTTACTGCTCTAGGAAATGGGTATAACTTATAAGTGCCAACTATTAAGAGTTTTGTACAAGTCTATTCGTAATAACTCGATTGTATGTAACCCAACGAAATTGCTATTTGGTTCAAATCGATCCGAATAATTCATCTATCCAAATAAGGCTAAATCTCACGTTTTCTCATAGGATTTATTAATTTATTACATGTTTGTCATTAACAAAAAAAAAAAAAAATCTTAAACTTTTGTTTCATCATTGATCACTTGTTCGTATCGCAAGTGACAATGAACAATGATTTTTAATCGTTAAGTAGATTATGTGACAATTTAAAATATAATAATAGAAATGTCATTTTAAAAGTTTCCATGATCACTAGTTTTATTATTCTTTTAATTGGCACATAATCTACTTAACAGTTAAAAATCATAATTAAGTGCCACCTACGACAAACTTAACGAAATTGGATGATCAAAACGAGAGTTTGAATTAAGTGACCAATATGGAAGGAAATGTTTGTCAAACTTGAAATAAATTGATAAATCGAGTGACCTAACATGTAATCTAGCCTAGTGAATAATACATATCCATATATATATGTGACTTCTATCGTATATTGGGTAAAATCTAGGGTACGACATACCTTGAGTAAGAAAACGCTATCTAGACCTCGAATTAACAGGGTTTTTTGGTATGATACTATACCTAACCCTTGATAAGTGAACCTTAGGTCTTAGTTATCTAAATCATAGAGCTCAACACCTATGATTATGCATGTAATTTGTTGCTTACATTTCGACGAATCATAACCGTCGATTTTTGTTTCAATTAACTTAATCTTAGTGTATGATATTTATAGAATTAAGACCTATATTTTAATCTTTTAGGGTTTGGGAATAGTACCAGATGCCAAACACCGGTCAATTCAAGATCTATATATCATTTCCTTACTCAAGATATGTTATACCTTTGATTTTACCCAAAGTACGATAGAACTACCTTGTTGTAGATTATTATGTTTTTCCTACGTAAAGGGTTAGAAGAGAGAAGAGTAACTCCACTCTATAATTCAAATTTGGGACCGCTAAGTTGAAAACTAGTACTAATATCACTAGATCAAACTCTTGTTTCCTATGTGATTGCACATTGATCAATCATGATATAATGTTCTATTAAGTAGAACCATTTACTTCATAAAATATCAATAATTGGTAATTATGCTATGATAAACCAACTAAATATTTTAGTACATCAAGAAGGAAATTCCAAAAATTTAGGATAAATAGATTGACACAATAAAATAGAAAGACATTTCCTTATGGTGTGGAGAAACACCGCTATCTCTTAATTATAAAAATCTAGTAGACCATAAAACTGTCAACAAAATCATACAAAAGAAAATGTGCAATGACACTATCAGAGAAGCAAACAATATGGGTACTGGGATTCAGAGTTTGAATGAGAGTCGCTCAATTATGGGTTAAAACAAGATTAACAGTATAAATTGAGACACATGTACGTAATTAAGCAAAAGCACCAGTGGTCTAGTGGTAGAATAGTACCCTGCCACGGTACAGACCCGGGTTCGATTCCCGGCTGGTGCAATTTGTTTTCCATTTTTTGTATACTTATCAATGCCCTTTTTTTCTTCCTTGTGTTGTGTCGGTGGCTGGGATCATCAGTGACGTATAATAATTTTCCTTGTTTGTGAGAAATAAAATAGTCAAACTGTCTCCTGTCACCAATTCAATTCCCATTTCCCACCCCATTCATTAACTGGCTCTCTTTCCCATCTGTATGGAACCCAATTCCAACTTCTCCCCGGCCACTTAATATAATAATCAACGCCCAGAAAAGTTTCCTCCAAGAAACCTCCTCTCAATCTCTCACTATATATACCCGCCATTTCCCCCACCCTGTTTTCATCACACAATTCAAACCCCCCAAACAAGATCGTACACATACATAGAAACAGAGAGGTCCCCTGTTTTTCTTCTATCTCTTCTTCTTGCAAAACAATGGCCACCAACAACAACAACGGCGATGTCAAGCTGATCGGCGCGTGGCCGAGCCCGTTCGTGATGCGCCCGAGGATCGCCCTCAACATCAAATCCGTCGAGTACGAGTTCCTCCAGGAGCAATTCGGGTCCAAGAGCGACCTCCTCCTCAAATCCAACCCTGTCCACAAGAAAATCCCTGTCCTTCTGCACAACGACAAACCCATCTGCGAATCCAACATCATCGTCGAGTACATTGACGAGGTTTGGTCCGCCGGCCCTTCAATCCTCCCCTCCGACGCCCACGACCGCGCCGTCGCGCGCTTCTGGGCTGCCTACGTCGACGAAAAGGTGCGATCTTTGTGACAACCCTCCTGAAATTGACCACCGATTTAAGGTTTTAGGTCTGAGTCCTTAAATGGGTTGTTGTTACTTTTGTGTGATTTTGATCTCTTAATCAAATTTTTTTGCAGTGGTTTCCGAACGTGAGAGGGGCGGCAGCTGCGTCGAGCGAGGAGGCGAAGAACGCGGCGGTGGATCAGCTGAAGGAAGGCATGGCGCTGCTGGAGGGAGCGTATGTGGAGATCAGCAAAGGGAAGGATTTCTTCGGCGGGGAGAAGATTGGGTTTATCGACATTGCGTTTGGGAGCATGTTGGCGTGGTTGAGAGCCCTGCAAGTGATGCTGGGAGGAGTGAAGCTTCTCGACGAGGAGAAGACGCCTGGTTTGTGCAAATGGGCTGCCAAATTCTCGGCCGATCCTGCTGTGAAGGACGTCCTGCCTGAAACAGAGAAGATCATCGAGTTTGCCAAGCTCCTCGTTGCCAAAATCAAAGCTGCAGCAGCCTCCTCTTAGAAGATGGATGTGTGTTTTGGGAGATTGTTGTTTTGAAGGTCTGTTTTGAAGGTTTGTGTTGTTGTTGTACTTTCATGTTGAATCGAGGGAAATCGGAGCTGTCCATCCCCTTTATGTTTTACTCTGTTTTGGGCAGCGATCACATTATAGAAATGAGTTCTAGTTTCTGATCTTACTACGGGAACTATGTCATTTGTTTTTTTTACTTTTTTTCGCCCTACATTTCAAGGTTTGTCCACCATCGATTATCAATAGGTTATTTATCTCTATACTGCATTATTCCGAAATTTAATTTAAGAATTCATAAAAAAATATCATAATTTCCTTCATTTCGTCTCAAAAAACATTTTGTCAACTAAAATTGAATTGATTCTTACAGTAATTAAATCTTTCTCATGCTTTTCAATAAAAATGTGTTTGTGTGGTATTTGTTATTTATATAGACTAACCATTGAAAACTATAAATAAATGCAACCATAAACATCAAACAGATATTTTAATCAAACTATGAATTGGATTGCTTAAAGATATGCAGTTGGGAAGTTAGTGAACGTCGACTACATGAGTCACTTTCTTTTCAACTCTTGTGGAATTAATGTTGTGTGAGTCACACATTGTAGAAAAATATCCCCACAACTTGAATGATGATAAAGGAGTTATGGATAGAATTTATCAGTTTATGGTCACTCAAAAAGTGGGGTCAACTTCATTATTTAGAAAATAATTAAACCAATATAATAGTCAAAACTTTCATTTTTAACCAAATAATAGTCAAGTTTTTTGAAAAATAAAATAATAATCAGATCATTAACTTTTCATCTGATCAAATATAAGTTGAATCTGACGTGGCAAATAATAATAATAATATGGATGCTGACGTGGCTATTGAGTTTTGACATGTCAGCCAAACCTCAGAACTAAAACAATTTAATATCCAAACTTTACGAAATTCAATTTAATGACAATTTTCTAACGCAAGAGTTAACGAATTCTTAATACAGATTATGTTGTTTTGACACCTCAACATTAGAATTATTAAAGTGCAAGTTCCCAAAAAGTCGGGTTACTGTTCATTACGATATTTTCGAGGTTACTGTTCACCTCAAGGTTTTAAGATTCCGCACACAGATTTAGCTAAGCCCGAGTATCCCAATTTAGGCCGGGCAAGAAAGTTGCACGGGTCCACCTAGAATTGCCTGCACCAAATCACCTCTCCTTTATTTATTATCTCTCCTTCCGCTCTTCCCCTGTAACATCAATCGCCTCCCTCTTCCTCTCTCCTTACCTCTGTCTCCACTCTTCCCTGCAAAATCAAAATATGAAGAAGGAATAAAAATCCCTAGCCCCTTTCTACTTGCTCCACTCATAGATCCGGTGTGACTCTGTGATTTACTTTGTACCGTTGTTGTGTTATCAAGCTATAATTATCTACCACACGATGAAGAATGAGGCAACGATGGCAAGACCGGCGACGAGCATGAGTTCCCCCAAACGACGGCGGCGGACCTCCTCACATCCCAGTCCTTAAACCCACTCAACGACGCTCCGTCAGATGACGCCGGGAACCTCACTCCAGCAGACGGCGGTGGTGGAAACAAAGTAGGAAGCTGCTCCTACTCGCCCGAACAATTGCAAAGTTGACGAAGCATGAGCGGCGACAGCAAGACCGGCGACGTGAATGAGTTCCCTTCTGCTGAGGGCTACAGTAAATCGCTGGATTTTGGTGAGTCAACAACTCGATTCAGCACATTGGAGATGATACCCTTTCTTCTTGATTTCTGCTTCAATTGAATCAAAGAAGGTAATCCAGGGTTAGTTATTCTTAGCCTTGATTTTGGTTCTTGCAATCCATCTCTCTCAGCGGTGAATTTGCCATCACCACTGCAACCGATTTTGTTTCTTTACGTTCTAGCGCGTTTAGGGAGCCCTCACCGCCCCTTCTTCAATTTTGTTTCCTCAATTCCAAGGGTTCAGTAGGGGAAGTCGAAGCTATCAAATCATCAATCTGTCAATTCCAGCTGACTATGCAGCAATTTCTAGCCGACTGTGCAACACAGTTTACAGGCTCAATACCGAGTACTTTGATTGGGATCACATTGACGGGGCTGGAGGTCGATTGGGGAAACAAAGTAGTCATGGTGGCATTGCTCCCAAGAGAATATATCAACAAAATGAATCACTACTCCATTCCAGTCTGTCATTATCTTTTATGCAAAACACATGGGAGCGTTTAAGTTCAGGCTTTGCTGTAGTTAGCTTTTAGGATGTTGCAAAACAAATAGGTTGCTAGGTCTACTGAAGTAGCATGAAGAACAGTTCACTAATTTTGTACATTTGAGTTTCATTTGATCATGTAATGAAATTAAGTTCGAAAGAGAACAAGGTCTAACATGATGAATTCTGTTTTCTTCAGGAGTTTCAGTCATGCCATTGAAGACAGATCTCACACCTTAGAGTGATACGGATGCTTCATATATTCTGGATTCCTGGGCACATTGACCATCTGACTTGATGAAGATGGCAATTCCAAGGCTCTCATACTTTGCTATAGGTGGACAGGTCTAATGAAGGAATCAAGCATATCTTGACATCAGTAAGTTTTTCTTCTTCCATATTAGGTTGTAGTAAATTAACAGAATGTGTATGAGCATTGATAGAAGATGGGTTTATTTCAGCTTAGAGTAGAACCAGTTCTAAGGTTCATATAAGGTCCAAGTTCCATTACGACTTTCTTTAGCGTCACTGGAATATGTTTCAGTTTCATACAACGGATTTGACATATTAGAAGGGGAGTCCACAGTAAATGGGGTTGAACCAGTTTCTTTTATTGGATGAAGCCTAACCCTTTTAGATGAATCGAGCCATTTCAAGAAATTGGATCCCTAGAGGTTAAACTAGAATAGACAGGAAGGAAGAAGCCTTAAAAAGATGGTTTGCTGGAGGTACAATACACCGGATGTCATTCTTCTCGATTTGGTGTTGGGTCTTTTTCTGGATATAAAAAAAAAAATATTTTATAAATGATCAATTTAGAAGAAGAGGGAGTAGCTAAGGAGATTGACATTATGAATTGCTTTCAATCTGTATAAGAACCGGTTCTAAGCTTTATGTTATGCGTCTACATTATGAGATACTCTTCTTTGGTTCAATAAGGGTTATGAGAGTAGCTTAGTATACTGGTATATTAAGAAGCTTTGGAAAGCCCTCTGTACTCTCTCTTGCTAAAAGTGAGATGAATTATACCAAATTTGGTTGGAATCATGAATGGTTTTTAATAAAAAAAAAAGTATTATGAATGATTTGTGTTTTGCTCACGTTATCAATTGCCATATTGCAGAGGATATGGACATCGACAACGAACAATTCAGCAAAATAAGTTACATAAGAATGGACTTCTATCGAATTTTTCTACTATTACTGATAGTGCAAAACTATTGATGCCAAAACCACAAGAGATAGAATTGGACGTGGGTTAACTGTTGTAATTTGGCTTTATGAGTTCGATTCGATTTTGTATCTTTTGGGGAAGGAACATTTATAAGTTATAAATGTGTTAGTGATGGAATAGAACGACCATCTGTAGCGGTACAAAGTAGGTGATTAAGATTCTCACTAATAGCTCTTTCAATATGTTTGACATGATCTTATTCTATATTTTTACCAGGATAAACGAATTACAAATTGAAACCCGTCGCGTAGCACGGGTTTTATTATCTAGTACAATTAATTTAAAACAACTAAACAAGAAAAAAAATGTCATCTTCTGTTTTAGGCTCTTCATCGAGCAACCTATATTTATGTTTTCTCTGTTGAAAATTTCTGTCAGCTTCCAAATCAAATGTGTTAATTTGGAACCTTTGTTGTAGGAGTAAAGTACGATTTCCACTATCTGTTGAAGTCTACCTCTTGTACTCTATAATGTGTGGAACATTCTAAGCTGATACAGTCACTAATGACCGTCATTTTTGTGACTTTCATGTGATCGTGGAAGGATTTCATGCTCTACAACCAATATTGGTTCATCTACACAACTCATATCACGGGAAATACTGCTAAGCCACCTGGTCACCTAGGGAGGAAGGGAATGGTGAAATAGGGGACAGGGGTTTGAGATCTCATATCTTGAACGATACATATATAGGAAGTAATTAGCAGTCCATGACTAATTACTTAACATTCTAATCATCAATCCAACCTAAGTGGAGGGCGAGGATGAAGGTGGCTAGTAGTAGTTTGTAATCTATAGGACTTTATGTAGGAAACAAGATTTCCTACATAATGGGAATTGGGGAATTTAGCTAGATCAATTAGGGATTGATCCAACTAGTGATTAGAATTGGGGATTTAGAACAAGAAGAGGGAAGAATTTGGGCTGCTGCTGCCGCAGCTTTGGAGGGAGAAAAGAGAGAGATAGAACACGCAGGAGAGAGGGGAGAGAGAGTTAGGATTTAGGTTTTGGTTCTGTAATTGCTTCATCCCAAAATAAGACCCTATTACAGATTATATAACCTGTCTAATTCCTATCTGCTACCCGAATGATAAAACATAACAATTAACTCCCTGTTTATTCCCCCAAATACCCAAATAATCCCCCAAACAATAAAAACCGACACTAATACGAAATAACCGAAAACAGCCAATAATTATGTTTCCCACATCCCCTCTTCCTTCGAAAAACAACCTTGTCCTCAAGGTTGTTCCTCCAGCTTACTAGGCCTCTTCCTCCCCATTTCCGGCGTCCTCCTCCTCATCCTCTGCTTCATCTTCCCAGCGCCCCACTAACATCATCAAATCCGGCTTCGGGCACTGGTGACCAATGGTGAACCGGCCATCACAGTTGAAGCACTTGCCCTCCCGCCTCTTCTGCTCAATCTCTGCAGGCGTCAGTCGCACGAACCCCTTTGGTATGGTCCGCGGCCCCATCCTGGCCACTGGCGCAGACCCTCCACTGCCCGCGTTGGCTCCAGTTGAGCCTCCCCCGGTTGCCCCTCCTGTGCCGCCACTAGCACTGCTGCTTCCTCCCCCTCCGCTTGGCTTTGAGAAGCGGCCAATGGTGCTTCTCCAGCTAGCCAGTTCTTCCTCCTTGTGACCTGCAAGACGAAAAGCAGTTTTCACAGAATCGGGCTCAAACACCCTGACTGCCGCTGCTATCTCGGGTTTGAGACCCGCCATGCACAGCCCCACCAAGGTGTCCTCCGAGACTCCCTTGCACTGGTTCCCCAACTTGAAGAACTCCGCACGGTACTCTGCCACCGTGCCGGTCTGCTTCAGCTTTGCCAACTGCTCAGGAGCCCACCCATCTGACTTCCCGAACTGATAACGGAGCTCCTCCTGAAACATGGGCCAGGTGATCAAGGTTGCTGCTGCTGCATAGGATCGCTCCATCCACTCCCACCATTGGAGCGCATCGCCCTCCAGATATAACGATGCCAGGTAGGCTTTCCTCTCCTCCGGAATTGGGTGATTCTTAAACCACCTCTCAACTGCATACAACCAAAGACCTGCATCCTCCTGCCCATTGAATTTTGGAAACTCAATGGTAGGAGTAGGGATGGCAATCAAACCCATGGCCGCGGGTACCCGACCGCCCCCGACCCAGTCAACGCGGGGAATCCCCGCTTTGACCGGGTATGGGGCGGGTATGGGTAAAACCCGCAAAAGGTTTGATGGGTATGGGGCGGGTATGGTTTTAGCCTCCCCCACCCCATACCCATACCCATACCCGCCCCACCAAGAGAATTTCTTCACATATCAAAAAATATGTGGATTAAATTGTAATCTATCAATAATGATGATGATAACTTGAGAAAATAAATAGTAGAAATGCAATTGAGTAACCACCTTAATCAAAACCTAATTCATTTCCCTCAATTCTCCTTCCACTCTTTCACTTTTCCCCTTGTCAACAAGATTATGTTAGTTAATTATTACTTAGTAAATGTATCAAGAGTTAGAGCATAATAATTTAAATAATATTGTAGTCTATATTATGTATTAATGGATGTTTTAGGATCATATTCTTTGAATCGTATTTAGAAAATGATCGTGTTTTGTTGACTTCATGATATAATAGGTTTGTTTATGGTTATAATCAAAACTTTTCTTGTAAGTTTTAGGTATAATAATGTTGGATGTACGGGGATGGGTATTACTCATGGGTACCCGAAACCCACGGGTATGGGGATGGGTTTGCAAAACATTCATCCGCATGGGTATGGGGCGGGTATGGGTTTGGGTATTTGAAGATGGGGATGGGGATGGTTTAGGCAAACCCGGCCCAAACCCGCCCCATTGCCATCCCTAGGTAGGAGGCTTAGCTCGAAAGACTATCCCATCCATTCCCTCATAGTTTGGATACTGGGACCCATACCTGTCATTTCCTGGCGTCTTCCATGGCTGCCCCCACTGAGAGCACTGCATCTGGTTAGGATTCCCATTTCCATAGTCACCCGGATAGCAACCCGGCTGATTCGGATATTCCCCTGGGACATGAGGCGCCTCATAATAGCCCTCTCCTCCTCCTGGACCCCTGCTGTCCGCCCTCCGGTTCGGCTGGGTAGTTGGACTCGGTCGATGCCCGGTTCGACCTACCTCGGGTCGACCCATCCCGGTCCGCCCGGGTCCGGTTCGGCTCAACTCGGTCCGATCAGCACTGGTCCGACCAATACCAGTCCGCTCCGGTTCGGTCCGACCCCCTCCTGGCCCGTCCGCCTGTCCCGGCCCAAAAGGAGCCGCCCCGCCTGGGCCCACCTGGTCGGCGGCCCTGCTCGGCCCACCAGTCCCCTTCTGGTTCATCTCCTGTTCAGCCCATTGGGCCTGCTGGCCCGCCAAGCTTAGTTGGTCATACTGGGGCCCATATTCCGGGTCCAGCCATCCCAGCCCGTTATGGACCCTTGTATACTGGCCCATCTGTCCCGGCCCACCATTCATAGGAGGCCCATTTGCGTCATACCCCGCCATCTTAGCCTTTCCCTTTCGGGCCGCAATTTCCTGGGCCGTGGGTGTCGGTAACAGGCCCGAGCCCAGCCCTAATGGAGTCCGATCAGCCCTGGCCGGCCCGGTGTTCGCCACCCTGCTCCCCTCGGCCCCTTCACCCGGCGCGGCCGCCTGAGCCGCCGCCGCCCTCGCCGAACCCGTCCCGCCGCCGGCTCCGCTACCGGCCCGGGCCGCCGCGGCCCTCGCCCCCGCCGGCGCCTCTAGCGCCGCTGCCGCGGTGCTCCCACCTCCAGCCACCTCTTCCGCCGCCCCCGAGCCGCCGCCCCCTTCGTTCATCAGCTCAGCCGGTTTCGGCGCTCTCTCTGGTTCGCCTCCTTTTGCCTGCAACGAGGTGATTGCCCTCATCAGGTCTTCCAGCCTTCGCCGCAGATCGTCAGCATCCTCCTTCGCATCAGCCTGCACTCTTGCCAGGCCTTCTTCGAGTCTGGCTAGCGCATCAGAGTGCTCGTGCACCACCTCCTTCACCGCCTCCAGCTCGGTAAGGTCCTCCATCACCACCTCGTCGCGATCAACACCGCCTGTTCCGGTGCTCCTCTCGGCTGCCTTCGCCTTCTCCTCCGCCGCCTTCATCGATTTCGTTGTCACCATCGTTGCTTTCCCTGGTTCAAGAGTTCAGATGAACTCACTCTCGAGCCAGGCTCTGATACCAGATGTAGGAAACAAGATTTCCTACAGAATGGGAATTGGGGAATTTAGCTAGATCAATTAGGGATTGATCCAACTAGGGATTAGAATTGGGGATTTAGAACAAGAAGAGGGAAGAATTTGGGCTGCTGCTGCCGCAGCTTTGGAGGGAGAAAAGAGAGAGATAGAACACGCAGGAGAGAGGGGAGAGAGAGTTAGGATTTAGGTTTTGGTTCTGTAATTGCTTCATCCCAAAATAAGACCCTATTACAGATTATATAACCTGTCTAATTCCTATCTGCTACCCGAATGATAAAACATAACAATTAACTCCCTGTTTATTCCCCCAAATACCCAAATAATCCCCCAAACAAAAAAAACCGACACTAATACGAAATAACCGAAAACAGCCAATAATTATGTTTCCCACACTTTAGAATGAGAACCAGATGAATTTAGCCTTATGGCCTCTTATACCTCAAACCCAGGAGACAAGAATGTAAACACGAGGATGGCTTGGTTATAAGTTAACTATATAACGTGAAGTCTCATTAGTCCTCTAGGTTAACTTAACAACTTAGATAGAGTGACGACTTAATTTGCAAGACAAATGAACTGCTAGTTCAAGACATTTATTCAGTACGAGATAGCAATTCGTACAAGTATTTACATGACAAATAGAAGGGTTAGAAAAATAGCTGGCCATGCCTTGGATAAGGACAGGCTCGTGCATAAGCCGTGTCCACCCGCTAGAACGGAGGAGTTGATCTCTTGGAAGCCGCCTCCTCCCGAGTGGGTTTGCCTCAACTCTGACGGCTCTGTTCTCCCTGAGTCGGGTCTTGCCGCTGCAGGAGACCTGATTCGTGATCATTTAGGGCGCTGTCTTTCGCCGTTCACTTTGAACCTGGGTGCTTGTACGATTACCCAGGCTGAGTTGAGGGGTGCTGTGAAAGGTCTCCAGGTTGCGTGGGACAAGGGATACAGACGAGTTCGTGTCCAGCTCGATTCTCAGTGTGCGGTCCAGCTGATTGGACATGCGGATACAGGGAACCATCATTGTGCTGCCATTCTTGATCGGTTCTGGGAGCTGCTTTCACGACACTGGGATGTCATCATTGAGCATGTGTATAGAGAGGGTAATAGATGTGCTGACTTCCTGGCTAGTAGGGGACATGTCGTTCCTTTTGGGTTTCATGAGGTTGCGAGTGCCGATCCGATACTTTTATATTGGATTATGTATGACTGTCAAAGTATTTCCGAATCCCGGTTGGTTTTGAATAAAGGTTAGGGTGCTTTTGCATCCATTATAAAAAAAAGCTGGCCGAATTTATGTGCTCTTATGTCTTTTATGTCCCCACCATCATCATCATCAGTGACGTCTACATATTTTCCTTGTTCCTGGGAAATAAAATAGTCGAGTTCAATTCCCATTTCCCACCCCATTAGCCGTCCCTTCCCCGAATCTATCCGTATAGAACCCAATTCGAACTTCTCTCCGCCCCATAATTAATAAATAAATAACCAACGCCCATAAGAAGCGTCCTCCCAATCTCTCACTATATATACGCGCCATTTCCCCACCTGTTTTCATCGCACAATTCAAACCCCAACAAGATCGTACACATACATAGAAACAGAGAGGTCCCCTGTCTTCTGAAAGTCTCTGCCTTTCTTCATTTCTTCTTGCTAAACAATGGCCAATAACAACAATGGCGATGTCAAACTGATCGGCGCGTGGCCGAGTCCGTTCGTGATGCGCCCAAGGATCGCCTTCAACATCAAATCCGTCGAGTATGAGTTCCTCCAGGAGCAATTCGGGTCCAAGAGCGACCTCCTCCTCAAATCCAACCCTGTCCACAAGAAAATCCCTGTCCTTCTTCACAACGACAAACCCATCTGCGAATCCAACATCATCGTCGAGTACATTGACGAGGTTTGGTCCGCCGGCCCTTCAATCCTCCCCTCCGACGCCCACCACCGCGCCGTCGCACGCTTCTGGGCTGCCTACGTCGACGAAAAGGTGCGATCTTTTCGACAACCCTTTTGAAACGAACCAACAATCAAGGTTCTAGGTGTGAGTTCTCTAATGGGTCGTTGTTTCTTTTATGTGATTTTAATATTTTGGAATCAATTTTTTTTTTTTTTTTTTTTTGCAGTGGTTTCCGAACGTGAGAGGGGCGTTAAATGCGTCGAGCGAGGAGGCGAAGAACGCGGCGGTGGGTCAGCTAAAGGAAGGTATGGCGCGGCTGGAGGGAGCGTATGGGGAAATCAGCAAAGGGAAGGATTTCTTCGGCGGGGAGAAGATTGGATTTATCGACATTGCGTTTGGGAGCATGTTGGCATGGCTGAGAGCTCTGCAAGTGATGCTGGGAGGAGTGAAGCTTCTTGACGAGGAGAAGACGCCTGGTTTGTGTAAATGGGCGGACAAATTCTCGGCCGATCCTGCTGTGAAGGACGTCCTGCCTGAAACCGACAAGATCATCGAGTTTGCTAAGCTCCTCGTTGCTAAAAACAAAGCTGCAGCAGCGTCCTCTTAGAAGATGGATATGTGTCTCGGCGATTGTTGTCTTTTGGGTCTGTTTTCCAGCTTTATGTTGTTGTTCTTTCATGTTAAATCGAGGGAATTGGGAGCTATGTATCCCCTTTATGTTTTACTCTGTTTTGGTCATCGATCACACAATAAAAATGAGTTCTAGTTTCTGGTCTTACTATGGAGAACTATGTCATATGTTTTTTTATTGTCTACGCACCTTGTGTGATCTTTGTGATGCGTATAAATTAACCTTTAAAACTTATAAATAGATGCACCATAAAGAATCAAAGATCAAACTAATATTTTTAACAAACTATAAACTCGATTGCTTAAAGATATGCCGTTGGGAAGGTAGTGCACGTCGGCCACATGTGTCATCTTCTTTCTAACTCGTGTGGAAATTAATGTGTAACTAGAGGAGTCAATCGGACGGGTTCGGTTTGGGTTCAATCGAGTTGCGGGATAGTTAATTTTTGGGTTTATCTTGTTCTGGGTTCATTGGGTTGCGGGTTCAGGTTCAATTGGGTTGCGGGAAAATTGCTTTGCAGGTTCATCGGGTTTCGGATCGGGTTGCGGGTTGTTCGGGTGAGCGCATCGAGTTACTTACTCCTCACTAGGGATGACAATGGTTCGGGTTGGGGCGAATTATGCCAAACCCAAACCCAAAGCCATGGGTTTATCCACAACAAAAAAAATGGGGTAAAACCCACTGAATTTGAAGAACTCAAACCCAACCCAAACCACTGGGTATCCGCGGGTTCATGTACAAAGATGCAAGTACACTAGTTTGCACTACTATTGTCTAGTACATTACACTAACTCACAAATCATTCATACTAATTGTTCAATATTTAAGATAAACATCCACAAACAATATGATTAGTTGAACGTGTGAGAAATTGGTTTAGAAATTATAGTTAACTAGTATCTGTGCCCAGCCCGATGGCCGGTTCATTGTCTTATCGTTAATTTTAAAAAATACTATGTTTTCATTATCAAACAATCAGTCACATTGCAATGCCCTTTCCTTATTGAAAATATTTTAATGTTAAAAGAGCGAGAAAGGGTTTTGGGAGCTAAAAAGCCATATTTGGTTATTTGGGGAGCCAAATTCCCCTTTATGGGTTGGAGTTAGTCTTATCTCTTCCCTTTATCTCTTAAGTGGACCCGGAGCCACCTCCATCGCCTCAATCTGCTATGTCGGCTTGTGGAAAAAGTCCACAAAAGCTCACTTAAGTGAGCCAAAAAGAGCCCGCCTCCTTCAACCCTTAGATCACAACTGGGCCCACGTGAAGAAGATTTGGGCCGTGTAAATATATGCTTACAAAACACGGAAAAAATCCAAAAGTACCACTGTTTAAAATTTTTTTCCAAAAATACCACACAATCCCAAAAAATTCCAAAAATACCACCCTTTTTCAAAAACCGCCACCCCACCCAGCGGTTTGGTCGAAAACCGCTTGTCGGGGGCGCGGTTTTGGACCAAACCGCGGGCCTAGGGGGCGGTTATTAAAAAAAAAAAAATTGGACCAAAACCGCTGGGTGGGGTGGCGGTTTGGCCCAAAACCGCCACCCCAACCAGCGGTTTGGTCCAAAAGTTCGATCGAAACTTCAAACGAACGTAACTTTGCACTCGGGTATCCGATCGTAGTGATTTTTTTTTTTCATTTCGCATAACTTTTCAAGATCTACAACTTTTACTAGGATGAAATTTTCAAAACAGGAACTATTTGTGGATATACGGGACCTTCAGAATAACTTTACCTTTACTTTTCAGAAATCTATGTACATTTTGAAATTATGATTATATTTAAAGTTGTAGATCTTGAAAAGTTATGCGGAATAAAAAAATATTCATGACATTCGGATTTTGGAGCACAAAGTTATGGCCGCCCAAAGTTTGACGAAATAAAAAAAAGGTCGTTCGGGGTGGCAAATGACGTTTTTTCGAGACGAAGACGGAACCCGACTGTTTGAGACTTGCAAGATCTCAAAAATTTATTCGGATTCAAAAAATGGAGGCCGCAAACTTTTTGAGATCTTGCAAGCCGCAAACCGCCGGGTCTCGCCTTTCGTCAAACTTTGGGCGGCCATAACTTTGTGCTCCAAACTCCGAATGTTATGAACTTTTTTTTGATTCCGCATAACTTTTCAAGATCTACAACTTTTAACATAATCATAATTTCAAAATGTACATAGATTTCTGAAAAGTAAAGGTAAAGTTATTCTCAAGGTCCCGTATATCCACAAATAGTTCCTGTTTTGAAAATTTTATCCTAGTAAAAGTTGTAGATCTTGAAAATTTATGCGAAATGAAAAAAAAAATCGCTACGATCGGATACCCAAGTGCAAAGTTACGTTCGTTTGAAGTTTCGACCGAACTTTTGGACCAAACCGCTGGTTGGGGTGGCGGTTTTGGGCCAAACCGCCACCCCACCCAGCGGTTTTGGTCCAATTTTTTTTTTTTTAATAACCGCCCCCTAGGCCCGCGGTTTGGTCCAAAACCGCGCCCCCGACAACCGGTTTTCGACCAAACCGCTGGATGGGGTGGCGGTTTTTGAAAAAGGGTGGTATTTTTGGAATTTTTTGGGATTGGGTGGTATTTTTGGAATTTATTTTTTAAACAGTGGTACTTTTGGATTTTTTCCACAAAACACCTTGTAAGCATTTTAACCTTTTCGGACCTCTCTATTTTTCTTTCCTGTGTTTTTTTAGTTCGTGTTCTTCGTTCGTAGAAAGTCTGCTGATAAATCAATTGTTGAGTGCCGCACTTACTTGAGTAGGCACTTCTTTGCTTTCATGAAGATCATCCGCGTTATATAAGAGGTTAAAAGGTTTAACTATGTCTTTTCCAACAACTCGAATTATTGGGAATAAGTGATTAGTTCGCCAACACTATATCAGTAGGGCTGAAGCTTTGACCCTGAAAACCCTTCGACCCGCCCCGACCCGACCCTTAGGGTCGAGCCGGGTCAATTTGTATGAAGGGTCAAAATTGGGCCGGGTCATCACTTTAACTCTGTAAGGGCCGGGTCAAATTACACTTGACCCTAAAAGACCCATCCTGACCCTAATAACCCGAAATGACCCTACCCCTGTGAAAATTGACGAAGACGAACACACACTCTTCTCGGCTGAAAGAAAAATTCACCCTAAATCTCCAACATCTTTCGGCGGCGTTCTCCGAGCTCAGGGACGCCACCGACTGCCTTCATCGTCGCCACCGTTGTAACGACGTTCTCATCGACTGAAAACCCATTGACTGATTCTCGGCGACTGCCGCCCGGCGTCCAGCCCTGGCAGCCCAGTCTTCGTGCTCTGATCTCAAGGTCGATTGTCTTCAACTACTCTGATCATCTAGCGGAGTCGACTGAGAACCAACATCCAGGTGAGTCGCGCAGATCCTGGTTTCTGATTAGTTCTCGACTCCCTTGTGCTTCAATTGCTTACCTGGGTTTTGTTCACTCCTTTGCAGGGAAGATAGCTTTCGTCCCTCGTGTTCAAGGTATATACTTCGTGGCCTTCGTGTTTTGAATTGCTCGCCTGGGTTTTCTTCTATATCTTTCAATTGCTCACCTGGGTTTTGGTCTCTGACTGATATAGGAAATACTAAAACTGATTTTCCGGTCTGGCATTCAATAGAGATCATAAATCTACAAATTGGTGTAGGGTTAGAAGTGTGCCTGACCTGTACTTGTCTTTCTAAAATGTGACAGAATCCCCTTAAATGGGAGGGAGAAGGGAAGGAATGAAAGAATAACCAGCGGAAAGAAAGAAGGGGAAGAGCTACAGTCTCAGCCATTGGTGTCCATCTATGAATCTCAAGTCCAAGAAGGATTTGACTCGCTGAAAATTCAAGCGGGTTTTCGACCAAGGTACTCTCCTACTTGTATCTGCTCCTCTTCCCATGCATCTGTGTTCTCCGAAAACTGCAGTTCTGCAAAACACCCAAGCACAGAGGGCATTCGTTGTTAGTAAGGGGAGTAGATAGTTATATTAGTGAGAAGAAGAAATGGCAAACAAGTGATTGAGTTGTGTACTTGTTGGAGGGTTAGTAGTACTTACTGTCGCCTGCTAGGTTGGTTAAAGTCACCCCATCCTTATGGTGTAATCATGTCCCGAATATTGCAGTAGGAATAGATGACCCTTGAATAGTTGCCCCATGACCCTTGAATATTGCAGTAGGAATCGATGTAGCTCAATGATAACAGCAGCTGTAGAAGAACATCAAAATGTCATAATGAAGCTCTCGTCGCGTCTCTCGTTGTTTCTTAAAGGGCCTCCTGGTTCTTTGTACTATCTATTCATGTCTCTGCTGTCACAATTTTACCACCTTAGCATTCTTTTTGTGTTTCGATGAAGAAAGTCCACTCTAGGATTCTTTTTGTGTTATAATGGCAGGATATGGATGAACTGGCTCTGTACAATGCCATCATACTGCTGGCTACTTAATGTGGTGTCTTATTAGTTATTACGAAGAGCTTCAAGTGAAAAAAAAAACAAAAAGGCATTTCGAATGGCTTCCCATATTGTGGTTTTGAGAAAAGCTTCAACTGTTTGTAAGTCATGTTCAGTTCAGTTCACTGCTACAAGTGTGGTCCATCTTAATGATTGGTAGTGGGTGAACTGGCTCTTGTTCTATATATCTTCATCATAGTGGCAGAGGCATTGATGCATTTCTGTCTGTGTTGGTTGGCCACTATCGTAGCAGAGTCATTAAGGCCAATTAGGCATCTGTTAGTGGGTTTAAAAGATAAGCTAGTAAGCTAGTAAGCTAGAGGGTTTAAAAGGCTAATGATAGATTATCATGGCGTGTTTCGTTTTAACATTGTTAATGGTATGAAGTATGAACAGCTTTCCAGATTTCATTTGCCAATACTGCCCTTTAAAATTGGTTATAATGGCAGGATATGGATGAAGCGAGCAGCAATCCCATCGATGTCTCCACCAATGCAACTTCCCAAGGAGATCCTCCGTTGGAAGTTGATGAAAATGAAGAAGGTACGTTCGGAACTTCAGCTGTATGGCCGCATTTTACTAGACTGAATTGGGCGGATAAGGAAACTAGAAAAGCTGTTTGCAAATACTGTCCAACGAAGATAAAATGTGCAGCTACTTATGGAACAAGCACTTTGAAAAGGCATTTGGAAAGATGCAAAAAATATCCGTACAGTCTTTATAATCTGAAGAAGTCTAGAACTCCTAGCGCTCAAGGTACTAGTAATGCAGCTCAGGGTACCAGTAGTACATCTCCTACTTTTACACCTCACACATATGATTCAGTTGTCTCGAGAATGAAACTTGCTAGAATGATCATAATTGATGAGTCACCTTTTAGACAAGTCGAGCGTGAAGGTTTCCGTGATTTTGTCCATTCGTTGAGACCTGAGTTTCACATCCCTTCTAGGATCACCATAGCCAAAGATTGTTTTAAGTTGTTTTTGGCCGAGAAGGAGAAGTTGAAAAATTACTTCAAGCATTCACAGATTAGAGTTTGTCTCACGACTGATATTTGGGCAAGTAGACATCATTTGGACTACATGAGTCTTACTGCTCATTTCATTGATAATGAATGGAAAATGCAGAAAAGAATTATCAACTTCTCTCCTATTCCTAATCACACGGGTCTCACGATTGGAAAAACGGTTGAAAAACACTTGCTTAATTGGGGAATTGATAGGGTTCTAACTGTGACCGTGGATAATGCAAGTTCGAATGATGTGGGCATGACATATTTGAAGAAAAGGATTAACAATTGGAAAGGGAGTGTGTTGAAGGGTATACATCTCCACATGAGATGTTGTGCTCACATATTGAACTTGACTGTGAAAGACGGATTGAAAGATGTTGATGATTCAATCCATCGTATCCGGTCCGCTGTGAGATATGTGAGATCGTCTAATTCCAGAATGCAAAGATTTAAGACTTGTGCCCATGAGGAGAAGTTAGAGACCAAGAAACTTGTATGTTTAGACGTGGAGACTAGATGGAATTCCACTTTCTTGATGTTGGAGTCCGCTTTGGTATTTAAAAGGGCATTTGAGAGGTTAGAGGAAGAAGATCCTAAGTATAAAGTTGAGCTAGAGAAGTTGAAAGGGACACCAAATGAGTTGGATTGGCATTATGTGGAGTCTCTAGTTCCTTTTCTGAAGATCTTCTATGATGCCACAATGAAAATTTCAGGTTCTTTGTATGTCACAAGCAATGATCTCTTTCATGTCGTATATGGAATTGCTTGTATGCTTACAAAAGAAACTTCATCAGAAATTGAGAGTCACAAAATCATGGCAAGAAGAATGAAAGCTAAGCATGACAAGTATTGGGGCACCTTTGATGACATCAATCCCTTACTGTTTATTGCTGTGGTTCTTGACCCGAGGTACAAGTTGGAGTATGCCTGTTTTGTGCTTGATGAGGTTTATGGAATAGAACATGGGGGAATTTGGACTAAAAATGTGTTGTTTGAGAGTGTGAATGGTGTTTTGGAGGATATGTTCAAGGACTATTCTGAAATGAGAGGGGTTACTAGTGGAAGCTCATCAAGAAGTGCGGGGAGTATAGCACCAAATGAGAATGATGAATCTGAAAGTGTGGAGGATTATTTGAAGAAAAAATTCAAGAGAAAGAGAATGGAAGATAGGGTGGGAGAAACTACACTTTCAGAGCTTGAGAGGTACTTAAAAGCGAATCTTGAGGATGATGAGGACAAAACATTTGACATTTTAGCATGGTGGAAGAAGCATTCTGGTGAGTATCCAATACTGAGTTTGATGGCTAGAGATGTGTTGGCGATTCCAGTATCAACTGTTGCATCTGAGTCTGCTTTCAGTACCGGGGGGCGCGTTTTAGATACATTTCGGAGTTCTTTGACTCCCTTGATTGTTGAAAGTTTGATTTGTGGTCAAAATTGGCTTCGATCGAGTACTCTTCCAATTGACATGGAAGAGCAATTTGAAGAAATTGAAGAACTTGAACAAGGTATGAAATATAATTTTTTTTATCATTCAATATTTGTTAAGATAATTATTAATTTTCTTATAAAAAAGATAATTATTAATTTATTTAGTGTGTTGTTAATTTTGCAGAGTTGAAAGAGTTTTGCTTGGATGAGGGTACTATCATGAGTGATTTGGTTGATGATGATTGAACAACAATGTATTATGTAATCAACGATCTATTTGTACTTTGTAGTGATTTGTAGTGATTTGGACTTTTAAAAGAATGGTTTCCCATTGGTATCATGATTTGTCGGAATTGGTGACTTATCCATCATGCATCTCCTTCGTCTTTACACCCTTTCATCAAACACATATTTTATGGGAGTAATTTGGTAAATAAATAATTTTTTGAAATTATTTTGGTGATTGATTAATTTTATGGGATTAATTTAATAAATAAATAAAATTTTGGAATGAATTTGGTGAATGATTAATTTTTTGGAATGAATTTGGTAAATAAGTAATTTTTTGGAATTAATTTGGTAAATAAATAAAAATTTGGAATTATTGTGCTGATTAATTAATTTTCTGAAATTATTTTTGTGATTGAATATTTTTTTGGAATAATTTTGGTGATTAATTAATTTTATGGAATTAATCTGATAAATACTGAAATTAATTTGGTACATAAATAGTTTTCTGAAATTATTGTGTTTATTAATTAATTTTCTGGAATTATTTTTGTGATTGAATATTTTTTTAGAATAATTTTGGTGATTCATTAATTTTATGGAATTAATTTGATAAATAAATACTTTTTGAGATTAAGTTCCTAATTAATTAATTCCGGTGATTAATTAGAATATTTATTAGGGTCGACCCACTAACCCAACCCTTTCCGACCCGCCCCGACCCTAAAGGGTCATACAGGGTCAAGAAGGAGACAGGGTCAGGGGCGGGTCACTTATGTGCCTTGACCCTTTAGGGGCGGGTCGGCCAGGGTCAGGGGCGGGTCAGGGGCGGGTCATCCAAAATTTCAGCCCTATATATCAGGACTCCCATGTTTCTGATTAGTTCCTCTTGATGTTACCAACTAAAGCCAACACAAAGTAAATCACAGACAGGTTATGATCTTTCTCATAGGCAAGCATAAAAATATAATGCTCATGTTGATGTTCATTATCATATGAAGTGCTTCTCCAAACCCAAACATGTCCCCTCTTTTCGGTTGCAACACCTAACCATGATTCTATCTCCCATCTCAAATATTAGAGTTCCTCAGCCTTCCCAGAAGTTTCAATGCAGTAGCAGCAATAAAGCAACAAACCAACAGTAACCAAACAACAATCCATGGCAAACAATGAGAAAAAGATATTGATTCAAAGGATTAAACCAGTTTATATACACAATTTAAGGATTGAGACTTCGACAACCTCAAATCGAACATGCAGAATCAAATCGAACTCCCTTTTACATATGCAAACCCCCCTATGACAGCTCGATTTCCAGGCTCTGTTCTTCGCTGCCTACTAAACCTGGCGTTTGCCCCTGTTCGCCACCACAATGAACATCACCTGGTAAAACAGTCTCCCTCTGACTCCTATCGCCTGCCATCCCTCTTCTCCAACCCAGATCGAAAGTCAGGCCACGATATCGGCGATGGAGCGGACAAATCTCGGAGGCGACGGTGCATACCCAAATTCAAGAACACATAAATCGAAACTCAGCTCCAGATACTCGGTTCCCAGCTATATGAAGCCCGATTCCATAAGCGCGGTTAGTGGTTAACCGCAAATCGTTTAAAGGGATTCTTATATCGCTGCGGTTAGCAGTATGATCATTTTGCGATTTGTAGAGTAACACAAATTGCACCGAATAACAAACTAACCGTATAACTAACCACAATATTACACAAACTATAGAATATTTGGCCCGACCCAATACGAAATGTTTCATGTCGATGAGTCTAGCCACCACCAACCCTCTTTCAACGTGAAACCGTTAGTGGGGACGCAATTCAGTTGGTTTTGGCCTTTGGGATCGAAGGAGAGAGAAAGAGAGGGAAAGTGAGACAGAGAGAGATATGGGAGTGGATTACTACAAGGTGCTGAAGGTGGCCAAGAATGCGACGGAGGATGACCTGAAGAAGTCGTACCGGCGGCTGGCGATGCGATGGCATCCGGACAAGAATCTGGTGAACAAGAAAGAGGCGGAGGCGAAATTCAAGCAGGTCTCCGAAGCGTACGACGTGCTTAGCGATCCCCAGAAGCGGCAGATCTATGATCTGTACGGGGAGGAAGGCCTGAAGACGTTTGATTTCCCTCCGCCCGACGATGCTCCTTCCGGGGATACGAAATTCAGGTTCAATCCCCGCGATGCCGAGGATATATTCGCGGAATTCTTCGGTGGATCTGGCGGCGGAGTAGGCGGCCGCGGCGGGGGAAGTGGGAGGAGTCACCATAATCATAGTCATCGGAGGAATGGGGGGAGTCACCATCGTCAGGGGAATAAGAAAGCTCCGGCGATTGAGAGCAAATTGGGTTGTAGCTTGGAGGAGCTCTATAAAGGGGCAACAAGGAAGATGAAGATTTCCCGCAACGTTCCTGATGAATTCGGGTTGGTTATAAACAAATTCCACCCCTTTCCTTTCCCTTTCTTTCTCACTTTTCGAAATCTGCGACTTTGCCTCTTTCGTAAAAAATCATTATCAAAGGGGGAAAAATAGGGATGCTGCTTTGAGTTCATCAATGGTCGGCTGGTCTGTTTGTTTCCCTTTCTATTCATATTAATTGATTCTTTTTGGGAATGCAAATTCCTATATAAAGATATCTTGTCTCAACTGGGTTGGATTTTGATTACTGTATTGGAATTTCCATGTTCATCTGCAGCTATGTAGACTGTAGCCTCTCTAGTTAAGACTTAAGATTACCCTTGGCAGTCTGCCAGTCTCCATCAACCAAATCTGCTTACGCAGTTTCTCACATTCTTTTGTAGCTCTTGGCCACTTGGGTTTTTTGCTCAATAGAGAATTAGAAAGAATGGAAGGGATAGGGAATTGTATGACGTGATGGATTGTTTATCATAGGCTGGCCGGCCGGCTGAAAAGAATTGAAATTTATACTCCCAAACTGCTAAGTAGTTCAAAACTATTCATGTTATTGCTTTGGTTTCACACATACTACTTTTTCCCCCTTGGGCAGCAAGCCAAAGGCCGTGGAGGAGATCCTAAAGATAGATATCAAACCCGGGTGGAAGAAAGGAACAAAGATCACATTCCCTGAGAAAGGCAATCAGGAGCCTGGTGTTCGTCCAGCTGATCTCATTTTCGTGGTGGATGAGAAGCCACATGCTCTGTTCAAGCGGGATGGAAATGATCTTGTGGTTCATCGAAAGGTCTCCCTGCTAGAAGCTCTCTCTGGAAAGACTGTTGAGTTGACAACCTTGGATGGGAGATTCCTCACGGTTCTGGTGGATGAGGTCATTAAACCGGGCCATGAAGTTGTGATTGCGAATGAAGGAATGCCTATCTCTAAAGAGCCTAACAATAGAGGGGATCTAAGAATCAAGTTTGATGTCAAGTTCCCATCAAGATTGACAGCTGAACAGAAGTCCGATCTAAAACGGGTACTGGGTGGTGGTTTGTGATGCTGAGTGCCAAGCTTTTCCATTGACACTGATCTGAATTGTAAGTTTGTTTGGTCGTATGTAAATAGAATCATTTTTTCTGATTCTTGTTAGAAGTGAGAAGATTGTGCATAGTAGGAAGGAAAATGTTGTTAAGGAGCTATATTCTCCAGCGTAATTTGGCCTCCTCTTGTTTTAGGATAATTCTCTTAGCATGCACAGGATTTGCTTTTGGGCTTTGTAATTTTAATTTTGTATACTCAAGAATCCTAATCTTATTCTCCCTTCCCCTGCAAATGAAGGGGAAGAAGAACCTCTTTTATCTGATTTTCACATCTGGATATTTTATCTGAATAAGTGTTACATACTCTGTAAGTGGAGATTGTATAATGCTCAGATATATCTGAGCTGAATAATATTGAACAGGGAGGGGTCATACCAACTTTTGCATAAGTTTTGTTTGTCGAGTTCATGACTGAGAAATCGACATACCAGGGTAATTTGGAACTAGTGGAATGATATGACTATAGAATATGGATAATACTCTAGTTTTGGCTGAGGGGATAATTGCCATCAATTGGCCTAATTTTTATTCTTCTGATGCTTCCTTTGCCTGTGTGATGCGTCTGATGATACTACAAAGCTCTTCAGTCAATTCATGACAATGCTTGGATCTTCACTGCCTATTCTTTTCAATCTTGTTCCGAAGTTCAGTCTTTTTGACTCCTGCCACCTTATCAACCTCTTTCCCTTTCTTGATCAGTGCAAATGCAGGCATTATCTGGACATCATATTGGCGAGCCACCGACTGCATCGTATTACAGAATTGTCTCATTCAGGTTCAAAGAAGTCCAAAATAGGAGAACAAGATATTCAACAAGAAAAGACATTGTATACCGGCAACTTGTCAACGTCGATCTTGATGAACATGACTTCTGCGTATTTAGCAGCAAACTCTTCCATGGCAGGTTCCATGAGTCGACAAGGCCCACACCATGTTGCAGTGAACTGTATGACCAACTTCAGCAGCAGCAAATAACATAAAAGAAAAAGAAAACCAGTTAGACGAAGAGCAAGCAATCTAATCCATAAACCTGTTTGAGAAACATCAAGTATCCTTACCAGCTTATTATTCTCCCTGGAATCATCAACAAAGGCCTTCCACTGGCTTGCAGAATGAACCTCTACCACACCAGGTGGCTTCTTGAAGCTCTCCCTGGATGTCTCGGGGTAAAGCTTCCACTGGTTTGCAGACGGTGGCTCTGCAAACCCAGATGGTGCAGGCCTCTTGTGTGAATTATATCCACCAGGGTTGGGGAACTTGAAATCAAAGGAGCTTACTAGGGTCGACCTTCTTCTCTGGAAAAGAGGGAAATTGTAGTAACTCATAGCGCTGTTACTTGCTGTGTATGGTTGGTTTGCTTGGTCTATATGGAAAGAAGAGCACTCTGGCTTGGAAATGTAACTTCGTGGGCAGGATCCTTATATAAAGCTCTGGAGTGGCCGCAAAATAATGAAATTTGCAGCAGAGTTGTGATTGGCAAGCTGGGGAATAGGATTCTTTCTACAGAGAGGCTGCAATGCTATGGACCGCAGAAACCAAAATGGCAAAGGATTAGATGCAGATTAATGAAATAATTTATTTGTAATTCCAATGTATTGTGAAGCATTATTATTATTATTTTCCATCAAAGTGGTTTCCGTTGAAATGGTGAAAAGGGTAAGAGAAAGCAGAGGATAATAAGAACAAGATCGAATGTCGCAACAATTTGTTGTGCAAAAGAGTAGCACTGGATTTTTTTTCTTTATTATGAACGGTAGCACTCGAGTTTGCTCGGCGACTTGCTTTGATTGTAACAAAAAATGAAATAAAAGGTTGATGAAAGAATATTTGATACAGTTTGACAAAACTTCTTCTGATCATTATTTATGGCTGCTACTTGAAGGATCCAGATTCTTTTGAGTTGTCCACATAGGTGACGATGAAACTTGGAAAGTATTTGATCTAGAAAATAGTAATTGCGGTTATTATGAATGTTTTCTAGAGTATCACTATTTGTCTTATTGTATCTTCGCATAATACAAGTGCCTCCACAGGATTTAAAGCTTCTCTGATTATATATTGGTAAATGACACATTTGGTTACTGAGATTACTAAATCGTGTCATATTTAATCACTAGAAAAATTTAATATCAATTTTGGTCACTCGAATTACTGACACAGGTCACATTTGGTCACTCTTCTGTAGCCTCTGTCCAACTCCGGTCACTCGAATTATTGAAAAATGTCACATTTAGTCACTCGTATTACTGAAACATGTCACATTTAGTCACTCTCCCAAAAGTTTCCGTCCAACTACATTAATGGAGTTGGACGGAAACTGACGGGAGAGTGACTAAATTTGACCAGTTTCGATAATTCGAGTGACCAAAATTGATATTAATTTTTTCTAGTGACTAAACATGACACAATTTAATAATCTCAGTGACCAAATATGTCATTTACCCTATATATATAAAAAAAAATCTTCTCTTACTAAAAAATCGTTTTCTCTCAACACGACAATCAAACATTTAACTAAGGATTGATTCCCTGCTTAGACGACAAAAAAAAAAAACAGCAGTAGAGATCGATCAAAAAGACCTTTCTTCCATGAAGTTTTCACCAATCAGGCCTTTTGTCCCAAAGTCTGAGCTACAAAAACAGAGGAGTTAGGGTGTCCTTTGATGGGCGCCAGTGAGATTCATCAACATTAGAAACGAACCCATGTTCAAAAGCAAGTTTCAGAGCTGCAGCAGAGACAAACAACAACCAAAAAATCTGGAGAAAGAGGAGACTATGGGTTCTTCAGCACCGACCTACAAACTACGACACCCCAAGAGAACAGCCATCGCTCACTTGCTCACCATACCACCATCATCACGAGGCCACCCCCATGTCACTGGCATTGCCAGCGCCATTGTTGTTGTAAGGGTGGCCTGCATTGCCGCCACCTCTGCTGCTGCCCCTTCCTCCTCGGTTGTTGTTGTAGTTCCTTGGGTAGTAGTTCCCTGGCTGGTCATAGTACTGGTTGCTCCTACCATTTTGGTAGCCACCGCCTCCCCTGCCACTGCCTCGGCCACCACGGCCATTTGGATAACCCCTGCGACCACTGCTTCCACGGCCACCACCTCTTTGGTGCTGGTAATTCCTTCGATTTCCATACTGATACTCCCCAGATTCGGCATCTTGCTGATTATTATGCTCAAACTCAGGTGAAGGTTTCGCTTCTTCTTGCTCGCCGGAGACAGCTTCTTCAGGGTTTTCAAATTCGGGTTCATCCTGTGAAAGGGGAATAATAAGATAACACTGCTAAGTGAATCATCTATGAAGCCATTTATTGGAAGAAAATTAGAAATAAATAATGTTTTCGGCTCAATTCACCTTGTGAAATTCCTCGGTGGGATTTGCCTGATCATCGCAAACATCTTGTCCTTGAGAAGTTGCTGCATCCCCATGCTGCACAAAGTTAATAGTTCTTAAGAGTTGACACAAAATGGACCTATAATGGTTACAGCATTGTACTCAACGCAAATGAATATAGAACAGGAACTGCTATGGATATAAAAGAGGGTTGTCTAATGGAACAAGACAGTTAACTAAAGATTTCTTCTGGAAACCTATTCAAAAGGCAACTCATATGCACATTGAACAATTAAGGAGAATAAGTGAATAGTTGGAAGCACTTCTTCACAGGCATAACGAAGACGTGAAGTGCAAAAAACATAAGAAGAGGGGAAGACTACTCATTATCAACTTTGTTGCTGTGTTAATAACAACTGCTACAACTTGAGTGAGATTAAACCTGACAATAATGGCATTCGTCTTCACATCTAACTCTTACTAATTAATCGCAGCCTGATTCTGCTAGCTGACCCTGGCTCCACTTTGTAAATGAATCAACAATGAAGAAAAGCAGCGAATGAATACCCAACAAACAGCTTGATTCTCAACTACTAGTATCACAAAGTCAGATTCAACCAGATGCACCACACAAACCAGCCAATAACACTGAGAAATGAGGATGATTTCTTCAAGATGTTAGTAACCAAATAGCTGGTCACAACCAGCACACAACTCAAACCGACTTGGCAAAGGAATACCTTCAAGACAAATGGACAAGAAGACGCCACAGACAGCAACAATTGATTTTTTTTCTTTTAGAAAGATAGCAAGGATCGATAACCAATCAGTTATATACTCCCCACATGTCAATGGAGTCATCCATAATGTACCATACACGATGTGGTGGCAAAAACTGTCTTCCAATCAACCACCTCAACCCTTGTTTCTTTAATGGTAGACTCCTACATAACTACAGTTTCAGTAAACTGCAAAGTCTTTCAACAATACAACATGACAAACTGAATGCTGTCCAGCATATATCTGAGGAACAAATATGAACCCAAGAAACACAGACCACTCACAATGGGACATGGTTGACAACCTATAAACAAAAATCTATATTCTATTGCCAGAACCTATGAACATAACCTATAAACAGCACTACAACACTACATTTCAAATAAAAAGAACTCAACTTTCCTAGCATATAATTAATTTACATGCTTACTGGATGCTAAGAACACTTGCTGCCAAGCAATGGCAATACTATGATTGATAACTTTAAGAGGTCGCATTGCAACAAAATTCAACACCAGCATCCAAATATTTGCATTCGACCCACAAGAAAAACAAGATATAGTACCTGTGGCTGGTAATCCACAGAATGGCTTTCAACCTGAACAGGAACTGCAATGGGCATTCCGTGCACCGGTACTTGGAAATGAACGTAATTGCCAGCAGCAGCCGCGGCAGCAACCTCAGCGGAGGCTTTCCTTTCAGGGGAGGTTGTAAAATAGTCAGAAGCCATAATCTTGTTGAGCCTCTCCCTCAATCCTGCATCTACAGAATACAAAAGTCTCCCAAAAGTTCAAAAACATTGAAGCGACAAGGAAAAGGCAAAAGGTAAGGAAAACAAGAAGGGCGGAAGAAGAAGAAGTACTTACAGGAAATGCCGGCATTGTCATCGACTGGACAATCCGCATTGGCCAGCCACAACTTGGCGTGCTCAACGCACCGCTGCAGAGCATTCTTGTGGGACAAGCTCGAATCCACGGGGCGGGAGATGAGCAACCCACTCAGAGTAGAAATCATGTCCAAATCTCTCTCGCTCAGCAGATCGGTGGCATCGTCCGTCACATAATCGTAGGTCAAGCAGCAGCCCCTCTCGTGCGTCCGGCTCAACATAGTCGCCGTGAAATCGTTCTGCGACTTCACGTCGAACAGCGCCCCGAAGTACAACAAATTCAAGAGATCCCCGACCATGGAATCGAAAGCTTCGGGCTGACTCCCCTCCTCTTCTTCTCTGCGCTCGGTCTCGCCACTCTTCTCCTCTTCCGCCGCGGCGACATCAGCAGCAGCAGCAGCGGGGACATCGGGGGAGGGTTGAGACTCGGTGCGGTGCCGCTGGATGGCGAGCTCGATTTCCTCGGAGACGGCGACGGAGAGAGGCTGGCGGAGCTTCTCGAGCTCGTCGATTGCGGCGGAGACGGAGGGTTTGGAGCGGAGGACTTCCCTTTGTTCGTTATTGAGTGCCTTCCCCTGGGCGACGGACTCTTCCATCTGGATGATTCGGTTCTGCTTCTTGCGGAGGGCGCGGAGGCGCTTGTTGATTAGGCTGAGGACGGGGCCATCGGCGGATTCAGGGACGGGAGTTGCCGCCATTGTCGAAGGGATGGTTTAGAGTAGAACGAGGATGTATGGGGATGGAAATGCACCACCGGGATACGGCGGAGCGGCGGGGTTGTATGTTTAGGGCAGCGGCGGCGTAGTTGGGAAAGAAGTGGGGTTTCGCCGGAAGGAGGAGTGGGGGAGAGGAAGCGACGGGGAAGATTGGGGAAGAAGAATCGGGGGGGAGAGAGTGAGGTTTATAATAATTTATTATTCACGAATTAGAGAATAGAGAGTGCTCAGATTAGTGGGTCTGTGAATTCTGAACTGTGAGCGATTTATTTTTATTTTTTTCTTTTTAGTTTTCCCCTGATCAAATTTGGAAAGATACAGGAAGGTTTGGGCCACTCGATACGAGCCCAATCTTTGTATACTCTAGTCGTGGGCCTACAACAGGCTGACTTCCATTATCATAACGTATGAGCCATTGCCCATTAGTTGCCTATCGATACGAGCCCAATCTGTGTAGACTCTAGCCATGGGCCTACACCAGGCTTTACTTACACTATCAGAAGGCCGACAGTAGTGTGGCACTGGTGACTAGGGATGGCAATGGGTCGGGTTGGGTCGAGTTTTGTCAAACCCAAACCCATGAGTTTATCCGCCAAAAAAAACTGTGGTAAAACTCGTTTTGGGTTTGAAAACCCAACTCGCTGGGTATCCACGGGTTCATGGGTATCCGTGGGTTTTTGTGGTAAAAATTTACAATAACAAGTTTCTTTCAAAATAAAAGTTTAAAATCAATTTTCTCATACAAAAAACACCAATCTAGAGCATACAAGCAAAGAGCAAATGATCAATACAAATTATTCAAAATTAAAGATAAACATATATAAACAATAATATTAATTGAAAGCTTCTTCCTCGTCAACTAAGTTTCTTCACTCTCCACTTCATAATATCAACTTCATTCTAAACAATTAGAAAGAACAAATTATACATGTCTCCACAAACATATAGATTATTAGTTGTTTAAGGAAGATATATTATTTAGAATATTAAATATACCGGGAAAGTAATTATATGTGTGTGGGCGGGTACCCATGGGGCGGGTTTACCTAAACTCAAACCCAACCCGACCCGGTGAATAGTGTAGCGGGTTTAAATCCGACCCCACCCAAAACCCGTTAACATGGGTTTTACCCGCGTTGACCGGGTTGGGTCGGGTGGGTATTCGTGGGTTCGGGTTTTGTTGTCATCCCTACTAGGATGGCAATGGGTACTTGGGTAGGGTCGGGTGCGGGTTTACCCTATACCAACTCCTAACCCGCCGGGTAGAGCTTTCTAAAATACCCGACCAAATAACCACCGGGTATGAAAATTATATAACCATACCCTACCCACCGGGTAACCACGGGTATTCGGGTAACCATGGGTACGAATCCTAAACTATGAACTTATACACATATATGCACATACGTACTGTTGTCCATTAAAAATTCTCAATACTTCTAATTGTTCTAGTTTCAACAATCCACACAAATAAAAACAACAAAAACATAATAATTGTTCTTGCTTCTACAATCCACACAAACATAATAATCGTCTACATCATCATCAATAATGGTAGCTAAACTAAATTTCTCAAGCTAAACTAAATTTCTCAAGGGAAATTGATCCTTTAGTAAGCGGGGCGGGTATAACGGGGCGGGTATAACGGGGCGGGTATTATCGATTACCATACCCGTACCCTACCCTTTATTTTGAAACCGGGTATTACCCGTACCCGCCCCTTAACCCGTCAAAGCGGGTAATTACCCTCGTTGACCGATTACGATCGGGTAGGGTACCCATGGTTACGGGTTAGATTGACATCCCTAATCACTACTGATGACGCTGTTTTTGATTGGATGTGGCATTGCTTTGGATATTCAAACCCAAACCTTATTGTTTGGTCAGTGATCGGGCCCAAGCCAAACACACGGAGATCTTTCGTTCCGTCTAATCTCTAATCAGTTTTCCTTTTTATTTTATTTTTTTCATTAACTCCTTAAAATTCAATTGACGACAACAATGGAGAACGAGAAGTAGAAGCAATCGCCTTCCTCACCCTACGACTCCGGTGGACTATCAAAGCAAGAAAATTTTCCAGCGAACTTATCCGCCGCAATCCATTAACCTATACAACCTCTTCGATTCACCTCCACTAAATTCGGTCAACGTCTACGTCTTCGTCCTCCACATCTCTTCTTTCCCTGATTTCATACCCAATCGACATCCTTAATCTGAATGTCGATTTTTCATCGCTCTCTCTGTTTGTTTGGCTCGGTAGTCTTGATGTGGTCGTACTGCCCAAATCTAAGTCGGAGGGAAGACGCATAGGGAGGGAAATTTATTTTTCTTTGACTAGGGCTCATGTGCTATGGCGACAACGGAGCAGTTCGACGGGAACAGAGTACCGGTCGGAATGAATGGTTCGATTCATTTTCTTTCTCACAAAATAAATGAGGAGGAATGCAGAGGAGTTTAGTGGATGCCCCTGCGGTAGAGATAAGAGACTGAATCACCGATCGAGAAGTTGGTCGGAACTGCTTATCACCGTCCATCGGAGGACGAGAGCAAGGAAGACGATGGACGGCTTCTGGTTTTCATTTTGGTTTTTTATTGCTTGATAAAAATGTATCAAGTCAACATTCAATAGATTTTTAAATCAATATTAATGTAAAAACTAAAAAGTAAAACCGAAAACGGAGGAAAGACGGAAAATACTCTATTACTTGGCTCAATGGTGATTTGGGCAGGTTAATGGTCACTAGATCTAGTTTGGGTTTAGTTAACCTACCCGTGTCACATCACTCATATGTGGACCAATCAAAGACAGTGTTACCGGTGTTGCAGTTTTAATAGCGACACCATACTATTGGCCTTATCAGAAAGAAATGACTTTGACTTTGTAGACAAAAACGCAAGGTGGACAAAACACCATTTTTTGTAGCTCACCCATGGACTTGCTCCTGAGATTCATTATGCAAAATTATTGGTATTAGGGAGAAATCCTAGTCCTCATCTAACTTGTATTCTTTGTATCTATTCATCTTCTATTACTTCTCGTACATGTATTTTGTATTCAAATCCTTTGTATGTACTTGGGTATAAATACCCTTTTTACGTAACGGAATACACATGGTTGAAATCCTTTACATGCCAAGGTACAAAACCTAACTTTTTTCACGTCCTTGATGCTCCCGTTGTTGCCATGTCTTCCGAGTCAGCCTTGTCTGGTCTCGTCGGTGAGACTCCCGTTGCCGATCCGTAGCTGGTCACGTTCAATCCAGCTGCCTCGCTTCCTCTCAAGCTCACTGCCACTAATTTTCCGCAGATCGTGCCCAGCTTTTCTCACTTAGCTATGGTTTTGATCTTGTTGGTTATCTAGACGTCATTGATCCTGCGCCGGCTGAATCTACTCTTGTCAATGGTGTTCAAACCCGAAATCCAGCCTACATTCACTGGTTCCGCCAGGACAAAATTCTTCTAAATGGTATCTTTGCTTCAAACTCGGCTTCAATCTATCCTTTTATCGCCACAGCTCAAACATCGTGCGAGGCTTGGGATATTCTTCAACGTACATGTGTTGGTACTTCCTACTCTCGCATCATGAGGCTGCAAGATCGTCTCTTTAGTGAAAAATAAGGGTGACCACGACATTGCCACCTACATTCAGGCTCTTCGATCACCTGCCTCTAAACTTGCTCTCGCTGATGAAGTAATCCGCGATGAGGAACTCGTTATTGTCTGTCTGCGTGAGCTTGGCCCCAAATATAGTGAATTCTCTACTGGAATCCGTGCTCTTGATGTTCCCCCTAAGATTGAGAGCTAGTTGATCTTTTTCAAGCCCTGGAGAGTGATCTTCGTGATATGCGTCCCTCGGTCGAGCAACCAGTTACAACCCATGATACTCAATATGGTCATGGGCGTGGCCGCCGAGGTGGTGTTGCTGGTCGCGGAAGTGGTCGTGGCTTTGTCTCCTCCTCGAGATCACTCTCTGCTTCCTCTAAGTCTTGGGAGTCATCTACCGTCGATGATGAGTCTACTTGTGGTTGCTAGCTTATCTATTGTCATTTTGGTGAGAATCCAAGTCACACCGCGAATAACTTTTTTCAACTCTTCCCTCAAAAACGACCACCGCAGGAGAACTGTACCTCTCATTCGCCTGCGATGTCTTCTTCTTCCTCTAATGGTGGTTGGCTTACGGAATCTACGACAACTCATCACGTGACCAACAATCTTGTAAATCTTTATATATTCTCACTACAATGGTCCATATTATATTTATTTGGGCGATGGTTCAGGGTTACAGATTACTTACATTGGCTCCTCGTATCTTTTGGCCTCGAATAAATGTCTTACTTTGAGTGATATTCTATATGTACCGAGTATTAAGCATCGCTTAATTTTGGCTATTAAGCTTTGTCTCACGAATCCGGTCTTTGTTGAATTATTTGCTAATTCGTGCGTTGTGAAGGACATAAGCGCGGGGGGGCGCCTGATGACCAGAAGGAATAGAGGTAATACGTATGAGTTTCCTGCCAAGTCTGTTGTAGTTCGTTTCGCTTTGGTTACCACAAGTCACTTGCCCGATTTCAGGCATCATCATTCAGGAAATTCGTCGTCCAAATCTCTTTTTAATATTTTGCGTGTTCATTCACTTACGCACTCGAGTCGGTCGCTTACTCATTGTAATTCTTGTCTTTCGAACAAAGGTTATGAGCTTCCTTTTGGTGATTTGAGTCTATCCAGTACTCGTCCATTTGATCTCTTGTGTTCCGATGTTTGGGGTCCTGCTCCTGTAACCTCTGTGGATGGTTATTCTTATTATTTGGTTATTGTCGACCATTTTAATCATTACACATGGATTTATCCACTTAAATTTAAGTCCGATGTGTTGTCTGTTTTTCTTGCCTTCAAGAAATTGGTTGAATTTTTTTTCCAAACCTCTATTCGTCACATTTTTACGAATGGTGGTGGTGAATTCCTCAATCTTAAACTGATATTGCTCACTATGGTATCACCCATATTCTCACTCCACCATACACTCATCAACACAATGGTATGTCCGAACGTAAACATTGACATGTCATTGAGAAAGGTATCACTCTCTTACACCAAGCTCGTCTTCCATTGACCTACAAGTCTTATGCTTTTACCACTACTGTTTATCTTATTAATCATCTGCCTTCGACTTCCTTGCGTGGTAAAGTGCCCTTCACTACTTTCTTTAACTAGCCTCCCGATCTAAACTTTGAG